AATACGTCTGTTTCATTAAAGCAAAGCACAACAATAAAAGGTTAAACTGTTTTATTATCGACACCATTATTAATAGGTTTAAAATAAACTCATCATCCAGCCTTTACCAGTCCACTGCTTGACACAGGCCTCTCCTTAGAAAAGAGGTTTTGGCATACTATACCACGCTGGCCAGACGGGTTGGTATAGGGTTTGTGTCAAGTTTTTCTTCTTTCTGGCCAGCGTGGTATAGTAGGCCAAAACCTCCTTTCTAAGGAGAGGCCTATGTCCAGCAGTGGACTAGTAAAGGCTGTTGATGATGATCATTTTAATGTTTTTAGGGATTTGATATCTTCAAATCAACATTAAATTTAAATGTAGTAAGTAGTATGACGTCACATCTTAGTATTTCATACAAGTTGCACCATGTCTATCGTATTGACGTTTAAATAGGTAGCTACAAAAAAAAGACTGAAGCGAAAGGAAATTTTGGCCAAGTGAAAATAATTATGGAGATCACCCTCAGGACAAAGATCAGCGTATCTACTGAAAGCCTCTAATACTGGTTGCAGATCCACTAAAAAAATTCTGATTTGTACTGATCCTTCAAGTACTACTCCGCAATTGAATATTGACAAAATTTTGTGTTCTCAAAATCATAATTCTAACCGTAAAATCACAAAACAGCGGTAGATATAAATTTTATTTTTACATACCAAATCCAATTACCTATCTGTAAATTAGTGTTTCAAAAACAAGATAAGGTTCCTTTACTAATTTACAGCGATGAACGAAAGGATAAAAAAAATAACACAGCACATAATTTTCGTACACCAAGTTGGCGAATAAATTTTCAGATAGATCAACATGAAATGGTTCCCACCCATGCCTATAAATATTAGCAACACCTATATTCAAAACTATCCCTCCTTTCACCTAAACCCACCTTTCCCCTCAAAAGAGCACCCCAAAAACGACCAATAGAATTGGAGCAGCACTATAGTAAATATTTCATAATAGGGGCATATCGTTGAATTTTGGGACACTATGTATACGTATATGCGCATGTACCCCCAAAGGGGTTCCAGAGGTATATTTAACACACACATTTAAGTGGTTAGTGAACCTGACTGCTAAGCCAGAGGTCTTCGGTTCGATTCCCACCCAGGACAAATATTGTGTGATGAGCAAGATCGTTTGTTCTGTTGGTGTAATTTATATTTAATATTAGAAATATATATTTAATAGCTGATTGGTTACCATAGCACAAGCTCTGCCTACTTTGGGACCAGACTGTCGTGGTTGTGAGATGCGTGAATTTATTATTATTATTTTGCCGACTATACTTTTACACCCTACAAGGAAAAAGTAAGCCCATTTAAGCCTACTGCAATCAACTGGGTACTTTAAGTTTTAAATAAAAAAAAATGGGCGTTCAATATGAAAAGAAGGCAAGTTTTTTGCAATTAAGAGTCACAAACGTTTCCACTCTTTGCCCTCCCACCCCAGAGTTACGAGGAGGGTCGATCACTCACCTCACTCACTCTCTCACTCACTTGATTTACACCCGTATTATATTTGACTGCCACGGTGGTGCAGTGGCAGCGTATGCGACTGCTCTGCTGAGGTCGGTCGGAAAACTACGCAGGATAACAGCAGTGCAAAGAGAAGGAAAACTTAAACTAACTCTTTGTATAGTAGGCCAAAAACTCCTTTCTAAGAAGAGGCCTATGTCCAGCAGTGGACTATTATGATGATGGCTAAATCCAGATACTAACCTCCATCAGTGTCAGCCAATTCAAAGGTATGTCATATTACATAACTACTTTACTTTAAAAAATATTACAGCGCCATCTAGTGGAAACCAGCAGAACTACGTGATAACTCTGTCTCTAACTTACGCAATGAATACATCAGCCTGGACTGGTATACGTTAAATATTGAATACTGCTATGTTAATGTATCCATTGATTCAAGGGTTCCACAACATCTATCTCTCTCTTCCAAGCTATTCATTCCACTGTATCTATCTAATAATTTAAAACCTATCTAGTAATTAAAAGTGTCTCTGTGAGTTTAACAACCCCTTGGAAACAGGTGGTTGTAGATCCGCAAAAGCGTATAATATATTTTCAATAGATATATTAGTACATTTATTTTACTAAATACTTGACAAAAAAATTATTTTTAATTTTTATGAGATAAAGATATTTTGACTTTGACCAACCTATGAAGGATTTCATTTCAATTCCTTAATTGTCCTTAGCATGTTAATTTGAATATCGGAAGTTTAATTTTCGCGGTATTCCCGGACCGATACGACCTTCAAACCTTCAAGAAAAGAGCGTACTTCTTCTCGACTGCGACTCATAAGTTGCAGACGTTCATGGGCGGCGACAGTCACTTTTTTCTATGTTAGAGTGGGCAGACGAGCAGACGGGTCACCTGATGAAAAGTGACCATCGCCGCCCATGCACGTCTGCAACTCAGGAGTCACAAACGCGTTGCCGGCCTTTTAGGAAGGAGTTTATTTATTTATTTATTTATTTTAAACTTAATGCACATATTGTACAAAGGCGGACTTAATGCCATTAGGCATTCTCTCCCAGTCAACCTTCAGGTGATGTAGAAATATGATGCGGAGTTCGCTCTTTTCTTTTTTTTTGCACTTTCCATCACCGTGACCCATCCGCTCGTCTGCCCCATTTAACATAAAAAAAAACTTTACATTTAAATTAACATGCTACCATAACTTGTAATTAATGGTGGTACAATCAATTAAAATGAATGTTATATTACTGCCTATAATGTTTTTATTGCATATTCTTATGATGTTTAATAATAACCTGGCGCACATATTACTTGAACACAGAACTACACACAGAATCTATATAATACAATAATGTTAAATTGGTTTGTGTAAAGCTTTAAAAACTCAAAAACTTTTGAAACAATTGAGCTCAAATTTTAACACTTTAACCTTTAGAAGTACAAATCAAAGTCCACTTCTATAGTTACTCAAACAAATAGTCCAAAAATACAAGCCAAGTTTTGAACTAGATACTACTGGGTTGTACGCTAATTCTCATCGCCCCCGGTCTTTCATCTAAGTTTTTTTATGAAGTCTGATACTATCCTAGTATATCAATACCTTGTTAGATAGCTAAGAGTTTTTTAACAAATCTGCAGTTTAACTGTCATAGATTTATTTTGTAATATTTGTCAAAGAAAAAAAAAAATTTTACAAAAAAATATTTATTTTTCCTATTATTAACATCGAATTCGGCCCAGTTTGTTAAGTTAACTACAATTTTAGTAATTGAAATCAATAAAACAATTTACCAACTACACAAAAATAGCAAAAAAAAGCATGGCAATTTTTATAAAAAATATTAAAAGTCCAATATCTTGAAAATTGTTATTTTTGGAATATGGTATTTCATAGTAAAATCTATCAAAAATGATGGCAACTACAACCCCTTAAAGTATTTAGGTTGACTTCCCCAGTAACCCTGTATACTGAGCGGTTTTACTATACAGTGCTTTTTTTACCCAAACAACAATAAATTGTACATTGTAATTAAGGATGATAAAATATGAATAATAACTACAAGAATTTCACACATCTCACACACAACAGTCTGATCCAAAATCAGCAATTGGCAGAGCCTGTGCTATGGTAACTGCTGATAAACATATTTATATATTTCCAAATATTATTATTATTCTGTACTTACAAAAAAAAAATATATATGTATTTATATCAGTTGTCTAGTACCCATAGTACAAGCTCTGCTTAGTTTGGGACTAGATGGTGTTGTGTGTATGTGGTAGAATATATTATTTTATATTATTATTATTATTATTCTATAATGCACTAGGAGACCATAGATCTGATGCTTGCATATCACTGCACTTGTGTTCATTTTGTTGTTTTTAAATGTTGTCATTATTTTATAATGTTTACTGATCCAGAACTAATTACACTTACCCGTAAACTATTTCTAACGGTCACCACCTGATATGGTAGAAAGTGCCTTCTAGGGTTGCTAACAGGCGGAGACTTGGTAATCTTTAATGAGTGTCCTCTCAATTGGGTATTCTAAATCATAGTATAGAGTTTTCCAATGTCTTTCACATTGTAGTGTCCAGTTAATATACTGAACTATTATAAATACATAAATACATATAAATTTTAGGTGAATGGTACCCAGACACAGAACTAATGCTCGATTCTGGGTGTTGTATGTCCTGGGTGGGAACTGTATCCACAACGACCAGTTTAGCACCCAGGGTTACAGCTAACTCACTACTAGCTACTACTACTAGCTAAATCAATAGGCCCATAGAGATGCTTTCATGAATTCAAACAGTCTTATTTTCTTAGGGTTCCATAAAAAAACATACCAAAATAACACAATGTCAATTAGTCTGCGCTAACAAGCAGTACTAAAGTTAGTCCCAGTTTCAGGCAAATTAAAGACATTTTGTTTTAATTAGAAATGCAACTTGCATTAAATTATTGAAGAAAAATAAATATACTGTCAAAAAAAAACAATATTAATAAATTCTTAGCATAGATATTCGGCTTTTCTATACGTTAATTTAATATACTTTGTGTACATGTGGTACAAAGCCAAACACCATGATATGATCTCACAAAATCCTAATGGGTGTAGGCAATCTCACAATGTGTTAAGAAGGAAGTTAGTAAATGCTATACGTATATAGCAAATATAACAATAACATAATAGACAAACATATATGGAATAAAACATATAACATGGCTAAACACACATCATAAAAATATAAATGCATTTGTCGATGTAAGTCTTATTAGAATTTCCTAAAATTATTCAATCTTATTGCAGTGTGACGCAATATACCGCGAATTACAGAGAATGACGACAAGACATCACGATCATATTGTTTAGTGTTATAGTAAAAAAAATATAAAAACATAACCTCTAAATCATCTGTCAAATCCATCAATAATTTTGTATTATATTTTATAAACTCACCTCGAGCTCCAGATTTTGGCATTTTTCTTCTAGTCCTACCACAGATGGGTCTTTTCTCAAAGAATCATCACCTGCTTCTTGCACAGTGCTCTCAGAAAATACTTCAGAAGCGATATTTGTAATCTGCCCTTTCAGACTGTTTAAACTCTGGTTCAAATTAAGCCACGACATTTTTGACACAAAAAACTAAAGTCACATATCACACTAAAGTATCGGAATGGAATTTTTTTCAAACAAGAAATGTAAACAATTAGAAAATAGCATTATTTTTGCAAGTGACAGGATTTTGTCCAGTTGGCAAAACAAGTCGCCATTTGACATTAAATGACGTAATTGACATTTGACGTTTCAGGAATCAGACTTTTCAAGGTTCTAATGCTAATGAAAGAACTAAACGTTTACGTGTATTTCAGTTTTCTTTATAATTCTATTACTTTCAATAATTTTGCTAATTCATTGAAAAATAAAAAAACATCTATAGATTATAATGTTTTATTGAACAAATGAGTTGAGCATTAGTGTTTTCACTGTAAAAATACATGGTTCAGTTCTATTTTTCACGACGCAATAACTAAACGATAATCCAAAATGAAATCGAAAATGTCCTTTGAAATGTGTAATTTGTCAATATTCAAAATATGAAGTGATTTATAATTATTTACAAGTTGATTGTGTAATATATCCTTGATAAAGCGAAGCTATACACGCATATATCGATTTTGATATTACGTGATTTTTTTCTTGGTACCGGTGGAGGTTATGAAATGAAAACATCCTTTTAACTTGATATTTTATGAAAGACTCCTGTGAAGGTTATGAAATACTAAGCAATCTGAAAAGATTACGTAAACATGTCGAGAATACTACACAATCGTATGAGGTAAGTATCCACTTTTACCTTCGCTACTGACCTATGACTTTTTGCCTATTTTCAACCCTAAATTAGTACAGTACGTACTAATTTAAAAAAATCGCCTGTGTACAGGAGATTCACATCCTAGTTCATTAACAATATTATCTAAGTAACTTTGATCTATAAGTAAAGTATGCAACCTTGAAACAGATTTCATTGTCAAATTAAATGTCTTCTTAAAACTCTATTTTGTCTATAGCATATATGCTAGGGATAAAGGATATATCCCTAGCATATATGCTAGCTAATAAGGTAGTAAACTATGCAGAACAACAGCACTGCAAAGAGTAGGAAAACTTGAAACAAACCCTACACCAACCTGTTTGGCCAGCATGGTATAGTAGGCCAAAACTTCCTTTCTAAGGAGAGGCCCATGTCCAGCAGTGGACTAGTAAAGGCCGTTGATGATAATGAGTCTATGATTTTATTTTAAATATATTCTGTTACACTTTTCTGAAAAGGCAGATATGGTGGTTATTTGATTTTTTTGGTTGGTTGATATTTTTAATCAATGTAATAGGAGGTAAAGCTATTACTAAACTACTAAGAATTACCTATTATTATTATTTATTGCATACCGGATCAGCAAGCTGAAGTGGCAGTGGACTGGCCATATTAGCCGCAGAACCGATAACCGTTATGGAAAACGAGTTCTTGAGTGGAGACTGCGTCTCGGCAAACATAGTGTAGGACGCCCACAGGCCAGGTGGAGTGACGATTTGCGCAAGATGGCTGGCAGGAGCTGGATGCGAGAAGCCCAAAATCGATCTAAGTGGCGTGCAATGGGAGAGGCCTATGTCCAGCAGTGGACTGCGATAGGCTGATGATGATGATGATGATGAAGAATTACCTAATGAAAACCTATAAGATGACAACCTTATTTCATAGTAGTGCACCACTACAGTGTACACTCCACATAGTCACCTCACCATTTCAGACCTCGTGCGAAGGACAAGGCCTCTATCACGCCAGTCGGCTTTCTTATTGCCCTGTGACAGACTCAGTCGTTCAATTTTATCTGATCACCCTTTTAAAATAATATTCACAAATTAATATTCCAAAGATGATAAATTCACCATTGATGTTTCCTTCACCTTTCTAGAGCATCACTTAAAAAATCAACACAATGGACTGTAGTGGACAAAAGAGCAGTTGCATTCTCAGTCTGGACTGGCCGCAGTGTCCTACTCCACAAACCTATAGACACCAGCCATGTGCAGAGAAGACGGTATGGCATGCTTGTGGCCCGTGCAGTCAGAGGAGTGTTGAAGATTAGATACCTGCTGCTCGGAGGAGCCGTAGGAGGCGGAATGACTTTAAATAAGGTTTGTGTTACTAAAAATCATAATAGATGATAGTTAAAGTTGCATTGAAAAGTATTTTCTGTGTTATAGCTACTTGTTTTGTATTTTACCCTGGGAGAGCCATGCTTCGGCACAAATGGGCCGGCTCGATCTGAGTGATACCACGGCCTCACAGAAAACCGGTGTTAAGCAATTCTTTCGTTGCCTTTCACTGAGTGAGTGAGGTTACCAGAGCCCAAATCCCCCCTCCCGCTGAGTTGAGCGGGAGGGACTCCAAGGGCAGCAACGCACTTGTGACTTTTGAGTTGCAGGTGTCCATGGGCGGCGGGAGTTGCTTACCATCAGGTGACCAGTCTGCTCGTTTGCCCCCTATAACATAAAAAAAACTTTAAAAGTTCTTATACCAACACAATATCATAAGTTACCAACCTAGATTATCCCAGAATCCTATTAATAGACGCAGTGTTGTAACTAGAAAGTTGCCAGCGGCCTAACCATTCTGGGGGGGGTGCAGAAATATTATAAGAAAGAAAAAATGTTTATTTTGGCAATACAAAAAAAAGTATAGCCAACAGACAATTTTGCAGCTTGAATTACCATCAGTGCCACAAATGGACCCAATTTAGCATTGTTTCGTATGGTTTTCAATTGGGGTCAAAGTGACGCCACACTTAAAACCGGTTGCAGACCCTAATTACTGCACTATCTAAATGCATCATACGATTAGTAACACAAATAACAGATAAGTAGATCATACTAATATACTAGGGATGACATAAAATCACAATCACTTGTGTTAAATCATATGATTTGAAAATATTTTCTTTACACCCGTCAATAATTTACAAAACAAAAGGCAAAACAATATACTAAACAATATACGCAAAACTCGCAAAAGGTCTAAATCTAGAAAAAAATAGTCGTAGTCTATGATAGTGACTCGTGCAGCGTGCAAACGATGTCTTACGACTTTGGTCTTGATCTTGCCACGGCTAGTCAGTCATACACATGCCTTTCATCTAATATCATTTACATCGTGTGAAAGTTAACAATAAATTGTTTCTTATTCATCAAAAGAGATTTTATTTACGAGTTACCAAAGAAGAAACATTATTCTTTTATCGAAACTGGTTTCGAAACTTGCTTTCATAGGCGGCCCAAGGGCCAAATAATGCACTCCACCACGAAAAGCCACGCGATTTCAAATAACCAAATCTCTAATTTACCAATTCGAATCACTTAACAACAACTGCTCGCTTCTACGAAAAACTTATCGCCAAAACCACGCTACCTCGCATAACCAAAACTCTAACGAGAAACAAGAGAAGGAAACTGCTTTTACTATATTAAGAAGATTCTGTTTATTTGTGTTATTATTCACTCATATGAGTATTACTCAAGCATATGGTGTGCAATTGTTTATATTGTCAAAAAATAGGAGTCTCCTATGTATATGTTCTAGCTATCCGACCCCGCTTCGCACGGGCGCAATGTAGATACTACTAATACTGATAATGTGGTGTCAGTATGGAGGAATTTACTATTAATTTGATAGGACTATACCACAGGACATCTTCAAATGTGATATTTATAAGCCGCTACCACCCGGGACGGACGTACGTCCCGACGCGACGTGGCGACTCTGAAACGACCACTTTACCGGTTGCCCCCGCATTTTAAATCTCTAATATCTTCTAAGATATTAATTTCAATAATATGCTGTAAAGAGCAATTTTAATTTACATGAAATGCACAACGTATCTAACGTATTTAATTGGATAAGGAATAATAATGTGTCCGTGTGGTGACGGATTAAGAATACAAATTGTCACCACCCCAATTCCACCCCTGGGTGTCGTAAGAGCCGAAGGGAGCAAACTAAGCAGGACAACAGCACTGCAAAGAGAAGGAAAACTTGAAACAAACCCTATACCAACCCGTCTGGCCAGCGTGGTAAAGTAGGCCAAAACCTCCTGTTGATGTGATGATGTGATGTGTTTAAAAACCATGTTTTTTACGACAAATCTTTGAAATTCTCGGATTTTGTCTACTATAAAATACATGTATCATACATATTTACCTTCGTCTTGAATCCGTTGCTTAGTTTAAAAGATCAAAGCTTACAATACAAAAAAACTACTTTATACTATGTAAAGATTATGCATATTGTTCCAGAAATACTCTGAATGGAAGGATGGCCTTCCAGACATGGGTTGGCTGAATGAACTTCTCCCAGATAATGATAAATGGGATCAGTTCACCACAACTCTAATTGAGGCTAAAGAGAAGATTTCAGACCAGTTGCAAATTGGTAAGTATATATCTGGTGTCTATCAGAGTCAATGATAATAGATGCTAAACTGTTACAGTATGGTTAATTATGATAAAATTAAGACTAGGTAACTTGACTTGTAGGAAAACTTGACACAACCGTCTGGCCAGCGTGATATAGTAGGCCAAAACCTCCTTTCTAAGGAGAGGGCTATGTCCAGCAGAGGACTAGTAAATGCTGTTGATGATGATGAAGACTAGGTTTTACCCCTACTATGAGGCTTATATAAGTTAGTGTCATTGCTAAATACTCCTTCAACATATTGCTCATTCTTAAGGAAATTGCAATACGAAAAAAAATCGGTGACGGAAAATCGGTTATTATTGATTATATAACTTGTTCCTTTTACTGAAATAGGTTAAAAATTAGTTAACGTCATCTAATCAATAGCCTTCAATAGTTCACCGCTGAACACAGGCCTCTCCTTAGAAAGGAGGTTTTGGCCTACTATACCACGCTAGCCAGACGGGTTGGTATAGGGTTTGTGTCACGTTTTCCTTCTCTCTGCAGTGCTGTTGTTCTAAGTGGTTTGCTCCCTTAGTTGCCTCTTACGACACCTCCAGGATCAATTTAAATTAACTATAATTAATTAACGTAAATAATGCTAATGAGACCTTTGTTAAAATTATTGCATTTTAGAATTAGTTCCGTTGAAGAGTTTCGATGCACATCCAATTTTGTGTTCTTGTATATTTTAGGCTCAGTAGTGTTAGAAATCCCTTGGAATATATTTATTTTTATTGAAGTGCCTGTGTAGCAATGATCAGTTTTTCATTTGAAAAAGATTTAAGACTTTTCATTAATTTCTTTGTGCTGCTTGCGGTACATAATTAAATTATTTAAAAGTATGGCTGACTTCAATGCGTCTATCGTGAGAGATCGTAATAAACAGAAGAATACCCTTAATTATTCACCCTTAGAGACCAAACGGGATTCAAACTATCCCAATAAAAAAAAAACGAATCGGTTCTGAAATGGCGGTGTTTAGAGGTAACAAACATAGTAAAAAAAAATCTGAATCTCCTGTTTTGAAGTCTTTAAAAATAAACGAACTGAACGTGTGTTATTCCAATAATACGAAGAGATTTATAGTCCATAAGCTATATTTATTGTAAAGAGGATATTATGATATTATTATTAGGATATTTTTATTTATGCCTGAACGCCTTTCTTTTTTTTTCCGTGCGGAGATCCCCTCGGGTACCACCTATCGGTGGCATGTCGGACTCGAACCGACTAAAACCGCACGCCGTCTCGGGTACTAATAGCCGGGGAACCAGGTATACCCTAGAAAAGAAGTCCTTGGTGCCCCGACATACCTCGGGCCATCTACAGACGAGTAGACCCCCCCTCCCCCCCGTGTGTGGGAACCCCATGTTCCCTCTGCTCCCTGGAAGCGAGCGCGCTTCGCAACGCACTCGCCGCCACCCCGGCCTGCTTCTGCTAGGGTGACAGATGGCCTCACCTGTCACCCCCAGGCCTATGCCGCTTTCAATCAGATGAACCGTCTGCTCGATTGCCCCAGCTTTCATGAAAAAAATAAACATAAGGAGGCAATATTTGTTAGTAGTTACAGTCCAAAAGTAGGAGTTGTCAGTAGATATAATATACTCGCGGTAGTAGCAAGACGTGCCTTTACCGCTAGGTGTCCCACTGACGCTGTCGGTGCAAATAGATCCGCGCCTGCGGGACATGGGGATTGCGAGAGCGTCCGAGCTCCGGGAGTGGCTGTCGCAGAGGTACGAAGATGCTGTTGCTGCTGCTGCTGTCACCGATTCCTCCAGTCTAGGTAAGCTGTACATTTCCGTATACAACTCGCTGAAGAGCGCTAACTCAGAATGTAAAGATTTTGTGCCGGCAATTAAAAGCCGGGGTATATTGAAATGGATTTCACATCACAAATTATCAACAGACTTTAAATAGTCCACCTATTTTCACATTTATATTATAAGTATGGATGGATGGATTTGACTGCACGGATGGCGCAGTGGTTTAAGCGGTCGCCACGCCGCTTCCTACTGCGCCGAGTGTTGTGGGTTCAAACCCCACATGGGACGACACTTTGTGTGATCCACAAATTGTTGTTCTAAGTCTGGGTGTTCTTTGTATCCGTTTCATGTATGTTTGTAAAGTCCCCCGCGACACAGGATATATTCCTAATGCGGGAGTTGTCTTTTTATACAGACACGTTACATTTTAAGATCTACTTGCGTCATAGCACGTTATCGAGATTTCTTTAAGTGCATTGTCAAACGATATGAACCTGTTTATTGCAAATAAAACAATATAAGCTTAGAATATGCACCAAATCACATAATATATTGTCTACTAGATAACCCGTGCAACTTGATCTGCGTCCCTGAAAAGGAATATTTTTTTTGCTATATTTTTTATTGATGCTCTGCTGCTGTTGCTCGTAGCATGATATAATAATTATAACCTATTGCCTTCCTCGATAAATGGTCTATCCAACACTAAAAGAATTCTTCAATTCGGATCAGTACTTTCTGAGATAAGCGAAATCGAACAAACAAACTCTTTTTAAGTATTAGTATAGATAGTAGAAAATAATTCAATTAATAAAAGATCCATCCCTATCACTTGGATAATCAATATTACAAATTATCGCGGACAGTTTTTACGGGTCACTACGAGCTTAAAGAAACCTAGCACCTCAAAAGGCTGGCACTTCTGACCCCCGAGTTGGTGGTATCATGAGTGTGTTGATAACATATAATTTGCCAGACCATAATCTATTTCTGTGTCAAATATCATCCAGATCTATTCAACTGTACTGGCATGATTTAGTAACAAATAATTATAATAACTGCCGATTTGTAAAAATATCTGAGAAGATTTACTTGTAGAAGTAAATCTATCTATATATATATATATATATAAGAGATTTCCACGTATATAGTCACTCATCACGATATCTCTGGAACCATTAGAGATAAAGACTTGAAATTTGGTAGGAATATTCTTTTCACCGAGTAGAGGTCAGCTAAGAACGGATTTTACGAAATAAAAAAAAATAAAAAAAATTGAAATAATGTAAATAGCAAAACAACGTTTGCAGGGTCAGCTAGTATCTTATATAGGACGCATTGACATTTATAATATTGTTACGAACGGGGTATATAATAAATAAAAGTTGTCGGTTATTTTTTATTTTGCTTTTATTGCACTGTATTTACTAACACTCACTATAACAAACAAGAAATCACTATATTACTCTTTAGTCGCACTAGAAATTCACTTCGATGTTAATTCGCTGTGTCGTAAAACGATACACTGTCGTACGGCCAATACGCTCCGCTTTTATAGCGCTATCGAATTTACTAGAATGATCCCTAGTATTCGATAGTCCGTACCAGACAAATAAGAATATTCCAGAATCAGCTAAGTGTTACTAGCAGCGCCATCTAGCGCTGTAAGTATCAGAATTATTAATTACAATCTCAATAGTTGTACTTTATTCGATACTAGATGGCGCTGTCCTCTACATTCCATACATTTCTGGTACAATCGTACCATTTCATCCTATGGCGCAACAATATTAATGAGATATAAAAATAATCAAGTACCTATTAATTTTAACATTGATATCAATTTTAATATAAAAGTTTTAAATTGAAGAGTTTCACTAACAAACACTAAAAAAATAATGACTTTACGTTGTTTGTTTGATGTGTTTAACACAAGTCATTAATTAATACAAAATGTAAATTAAACCTGCCCAATATTCCCTTTTTTTATGTGAAATGTTACCATAATCCATAGTCCACCATATCTCGGCAGAGCAACCGGCGAAGATAGTGAATAACTTGCAGAGCAAGCCGCAACCTGTCGCCCAGAGATCTACTGACGACAACAGCAGCTATGGTGAGTGTCACTATTAATTTCATAGCTATTATCCTATTAACCTTTGGATCAAAATATCCAGGAACCTTTTTTTTTACTATTGCTATACCTACAACTGGTTTTTTCTTCTGTATGAAATTTTCCTATAACACGGTCAAACTCAGTCAGGCAGATATATTGGCCAGCCAGATCATTTGGATTATTTTCAGCCGCTGAGAGTTAATTGTCGTAAATGTTTTGTTTGAACGAAAGACTGTTGTAGACTATTACCAACCCCTTTCTATTTTACTCTTCTACCAATATGATTGAGCTGAGAAAGAAAGCGATTCGAAATATGAGGCATGCCCGTCATAATAAAATATTAGCTGGAAGTAGTAACTTATCCGTCGAGAAAGGAAATTACGCCAATTAATATGCAAAAGTTCTTGACCGCACTAAAATAAAATTTGCCATATTAAAGCACATGATTGCCTGGAACCTTGACATCTGTACGAGCTGAACAATCCACGTCGCCGCCCTCTTGACAAAACTCTTATTTCTGAAATATATTTCAGAAGTTTTTTAAAATGAATATCCAAATTCTAATTCTTCCAGAGAAACGTGTGCACGTTCTCCAGGAAGAGGTGCTCGCTTTACAAGCACGCTACCAGAGAGAGTTGCAGAGACTAGAGCAAGAGAATCGGGAACTGAGACAACAGAATATGCTCCTGAGGCAAGGACGACAACCGTCTACTAGGAAAATGAAGGTAAGACGAAGACAGACTCAGGTTTCCTCTGAAGATAAGAAGTATCGTACAATTACCAACTTATTTACCGTTAGAAACTTCTAGATAGTTCTAAAACTGACTGGCTCTTACCAGACCTAGGGAATGCTTGCTTTTTGGCTGGATGTCTTGGGTTACTAAAATTCTGTTTGGTCTTAATAGTTACCACTGTTTTAGCCGCGCTAATCATTACTGCTTGTCATCCTCTACTTACAGAGTTTATCATTTGAATTGAATTTACTCCTCAGTCAACTGGTTTGTTAAGGAACACCAATCATACTCACGAAACATAATCAGGAAGCTTTTATGAATCATAAATTTAATTATTATGTAAAGTCAGGACCTCCAAAAGTCCCTTCGGCCAGATTGGAACCTAATGGTTGGCTTCAAAAGAAGGTCCAACGTTTTGTGTTGGTTACTAGTTTCTAAAACAGAATTATTTTTCTTTAATTAAAACCAGATTTTGGAAACTGGTTGCCAACCATTATTTTTCAATACGGCCGAAGAGTCAAAAGTAGATGCAGCTATATTTATTCTCACTTATTAAATGGGGAACATGTCTATTGTGTCAACGTCAACTTTCAAAACTGAAGGGGAATATAACAATAAAGATGAAGAAGAAAAGATAAGAAAGCTATATAGACCTATAGAACTCATACCGATGTATTTAGCAATGCTTCAGAAGGCAAGATAATAATAATAATAATATAATAATATATTCTACCACATACACACAACGCCATCTAGTCCCAAACTAAGCAGAGCTTGTACTATGGGTACTAGACAACTGATATAAATACATATATACTTTTTTTTTGTAAATACATACATATTATACATAGAAACACCCAGACCAAATCAAACATTAAATGTTCATGCACACAAATATTTGACTTGAGCGGGAATCGAACCCGCGATCTTTGGAATAGCATTCCGTTACACAAACCACTACGCCATCCAGTCGTCGTATCCCATCATCCCATCCAGATTTTGCGTACTTGTCAGGAAGTCTGAATCTTCTAACATAATATATTTCCAATTTCTAGCGTTCCCTAATCGACATGTACTCGGCGGTGTTAGACGAGCTGTCAGGTTGGGACGCTGGTGAGACGGATCGTCTACCAAGAGTGGTGGTAGTAGGCGACCAGTCCGCCGGTAAGACCTCCGTGCTGGAGATGATAGCACAGGCCAGGATATTCCCGAGGGGGGCTGGAGAAATGTGTACGAGGTAAGATTTTAATAACATCCCATCAGCCTATCAAAAAGTAATTTCATATAAAAACAGTGAATGTTATATTACAGAGCTCCAGTCAAGGTGACGCTCTCAGAAGGTCCGTACCACGTGGCACAGTTCAGAGATTCTGCGCGGGAGTTTGATCTCAATAAAGAGTCTGACTTAGCAGATCTGAGAAAGTGAGTATACAATACAAAATTCGTGTAAAGAATGATGACGCATCGATCAAGCCCCGCCCCCTGACCAATAAAGTTCCAGTAAACTATCGTTTTATACGAAAGCTTTGCTCCGGATAAAACAATCTGACTGCTAGAGCATTTAACTTATAAGCTCAGCACTAGCAAGACAGCTGATTTTATGTTCTTTAATATCATTTGAATATATTCGGCTTTTTATAATTTAGTGGTGTTTATTTAAATTTTTCAAAGAATTGGACTTGGTTTCTTATAGTGTTACCATTTTTAACCTGTAATTTTTTTTTGTATACGATGCCTTATACATTCGAGTATTGTGTGTGTTGAAGAGTGTTCTTATAAAAGATCAAGGTACTATATGTAACACGACTGCTTACCCCCCAGGGAGGTGGAGCTGCGCATGCGCAACAGCGTGCGCGGGGGCCGCACGGTGTCGAGCGAGGTGATCTCCATGGCCGTCAAGGGGCCCGGCCTGCATCGCATGGTGCTCGTTGACCTGCCCGGCGTCATCTCGGTATGTATACCATGGTTTTAAATTCTTTAATATAGTTACTGAGAAATTTTGTGAATGAAAAATATTATAATACACCAAATTAGCAGTGGTATGGTCATACCTTTGTTATTTAATTGTCTGAACTTCACTTTATCAGCTATAAATGTGTACTGTGCTTTTCTGTAAAAGGCTACTATTTGACTGCACTGATGGCATAGTGGTTTAAGTGGGCTTGTGCTGAGTGTTGTGGGTTCGATTCCCACATGGGACGACACTTTGTGTGATCCACAAATTGTTGTTCTGAATCTGGGTGTTCTTTGTGTCCGTTTCATGTATGTTTGTAAAGTCCCCCGCGACACAGGATATATTCCTAATCCGGGAGTTGTCTTTAAAAGAATATATAGTTTTGTAATTTAAAAGAATAGTTTATTAGTACATATAAGAAATTGTTGTTGGTAAGCCTGATAAATTAACAAATAAATTATTTAACTTTCAGACTCAGACGGTGGATATGGCGTCAGACACTCGGGATGCCATCAAACAGATGACTATGAAGTATATGGACAATCCCAACGCTATCATATTATGTATACAGGTATGCTCATGGTCTCGCCAACTTAAAGCTGGCAACACTAGTTTCTGCACTGCACGGATGGCGTAGTGGTTTAAGCGGTCGCCACGCCGAGTGTTGCGAGTTCAAACCTCACATCATCACATGAAGTGTCGCCCACACTTTGTGTGATCCACAAATTATTGTTCTGAGTCTTGGTGTTCTTTGTGTCCGTTTCATGTATGTTTGTAAAGTCTCTCGCGACACAGGATATAATCATAATTCGGGATTTGTCTAAAAAAATTTTTTTGTCTTATATCGTCTTATATGTTTTATATCTTATATTTCAAGTACCTCGGCTCCCTCTTACAATGTGATGGTGAGATTGATCGAACTGTACAGCATCGAATCAATACGGGAGCGATGAAGTGGCGGCAGGTAACGGCAACAACTTGTGACCCCAGTTTCCCCTTAACACTGAAGGGACAAATTTATAAAACTATTATCAGACCTGCCGTCCTGTATGGTTCTAAAAGTTGGCCCATTAAGAGAACGGATGAGAGACGCCTGAACGTAGCCGAAATGCGAATGCTGAGATGGATGTGTGGTGTGACTCAGATTGACAAGGTTAGGAATGAGTATATACGAGGGAGTCTGAAAGTAGCGCCACTGGATGAAAAGTTAAGAACTAATAGTTATCTTGGTATGGAGATGTCATGCGGTGGGGTGAGGAAAATGTGGCGAAGAAAGTTTTAGGTATGAGAGTTGAAGGGTACAAGAGAAGAGGCAGACCGAAGTAAAGGTGGATGGACTGCGTGAGGGAGGATATGGCTAGGAAGGGAGGAAACAGTGAGATGACGCATGACAGAGTAGAATGGAAGAATCATACATACTGCGCCGACCTCAAATAAAATTGGGAAAAGGGTAGGCAGATGATGAGATGATGATATCGACTCCATGCTGAGGTGGCCATAAAAAAACGCTGTTAGTTATACACTTTGTACATTTAAGCTGTTCTTGCGTTACTTTTCACTGAGTGAGTGAGGTTACCAGAGCTCAAAACCCAAAACTCACCTCTCATATGGTGTCTCAAAGGGTAACAACTCACTTGTGACAAATGAGTTACAGGTGTACATGGACTTATCATCAGGTAACCCGCCTGCTCGTTTGCCCCCTGTATCATTAAAAAAAACAACAGTCACACTACGGTAGTGCCGACCGAAGTGAAAACTAATACACCGAGGTGTCGGTAATGGTAACTGTGTCGTGACTTCAATTGGTTTTTCCCATGTCTAAAATGCCCAACGCGCCTTAAGAAGTTTTCCAATAGTGGTGTCGGTAACGGTAACAGTGTCGTGGGTTCAAAGATTTTGATTTTTGATTTTGATTTTGTTTGTTTTTCAAAAATGCCCAAAGCTTGTAAAGAAGTTTTCACTTCAAAAATGGACACAAATGAACATCTAGACTATTTTTAAATCTTATAAATGTTTGTGCCATGTGGGAATCAAAGTATTGTTCATTGTACAGGACGGGTCGGTGGACGCGGAGCGCAGCAACGTGACGGACCTGGTGTCGTCGTGCGACCCCTCGGGGAAGAGGACCATCTTCGTGCTCACCAAGGTCGACCTGGCCGAGGAGAACCTCGCCAACCCCAATAGGGTCAGTCTCTACAGAAACTATACTGTCAAAGTTATTGGCCTGTTGCATCTTAACGCGCCATTCTTTGTTTTGATTGACGTCAAATGTTTGACAGCTAGGGACAGGTGTTTTAATTTACTCTGTGGTTTGTATAGAGAAAGTGTTGTTTTTACTGTTTTTCTCACAATTTTTACGTTTATTTCTTTATAAGAACTTTTCTTGTGCCTTAACGCAAATATTTAAAGAAAAATAGCGCAATTGATCGGGTCGTTCTCGAGTATTGCGCTTAGCAACACATTTGCTGATGAATGTTTATTTATATAGATAGGTAGGTAGGTATTTTATCCAACGACCAACTCTAGCAGTTATTGGTCGAATCAAATAAGATCCGACTAAGCGAGCAAACTACGCTGGACAACAGCACTGCAAAGAGAAGGTAAACTTGAAACAAACCCTATACCAACCCGTCTGGCCAGCGTGGTATCGTAGGCCAAAACCTCCTTTCTAAGGAGAGGCCTATGTTCAGCAGTGGACTGTTATAGGCTGGTGATGATGAAATAAGGGCACTCTTCTCCGGCTGCCTATTATACACTTCCTCTCTTTTCACGAAATCACTCCCACTTAAAAGCAGGTTATAATAGTTTTAATTAATAATTCCCTTACGATTATCTGCCGACCCTCAGATCCGCCGCATCTTGGAAGGCAAGCTGTTCCCGATGAAGGCGCTGGGCTACTACGCCGTGGTCACGGGCCGCAGTCGCAAGGATGACTCCATACAGAACATCCGGGAGTACGAGGAACGGTTCTTCAGATCCTCTAAACTATTCAAGTGAGTCGACATTCTTGCACAATTCTTTAATAGTGTCTCTGGTTGTCCGGTACGTTACTGGAGGCCCAAACACCAGCCCTCTCTTTCAAGTCTACGCAGCCACACACAAAACGCACTAATGCTCTGTGTCTCTGGACATATAGTTTTCCATGGCCAGTGGTAACCACTTACCATCAAGTGACCCGTCTGTTCGTTTGCTCCATACCGTAAAAATGTCACTTACAGTAACACATGTTCCCCAGAGACGGTCTGGTGACCCCATCGCAAGTGACGACCCGCAACCTGTCCCTGGCCGTGGCGGACTGCTTCTGGCGCATGGTGAGAGCTTCCGTGGAGCAGCAGGCTGACGCCTTCAAGGCCATGAGGTTCAACCTGGAGACTGAGTGGAAGAACACTTTCCCGAGGTATGTTCTTTTATTTTATAACTATGCCTCAGTCTAGAAGGTTAAAGGATTATAGTTCCAGAGGTAGTCAGCATCGCTTCACGGAGTTAGGTCATATTGCTTTACCGATAGATGAAAAACCCACGTCAAATGTCAATTAATTTGAGTTTTACGGTGTTAAAAGAGTTATATTTATATTGTAAGAAGTGATGAAAACATCATCATCATCATCAACAGCCTTTAATAGTCCACTGCTGGACATTAGCCTCTCCTTAGAAAGGAGGTTTTGGCCTACTATACCACGCTGGCCAGACAGGATTGTGTCAAGTTTTCCTTCTCTCTGCAGTGTTGTTGTTCTGCATAGTTTTTTCCCTTAGTTGACTCTTACAACACCCACGGGTTAAATAGGGGTGGTGACAATCTGTATTCTTAATCCGTCACCACACGGACGGTGATGAAAACAAATCTCTTTATTATCTTGAGAAAAGATCGTTCTCCTTCCTCAAAGGCTGGCCACGCGCTTGTGACTCCTAAGTTACAGGCGTTCATGGGCGGCGGTAGTCGCTTTCCATCAGATGACCCGTCTGCGCGTTTGCCCCCTATTCCATACAAAAAAAACACATACAAACATAACGAGGGGTTGTGGGCCATTAACATTTCACAACTTTTTATCCATCGTAAATTTAAGGAAATTAGACTGAATGCACTCATCGGGTATAGTTATATTGAAGTTATAATAATAATAATATTTTACCACATTCACACAATGCCATCTAGTCCCAAACTAAGCAGAGCTTGTACTATGGCTATTAGACAACTGATATAAACTCATATATACTTTTTTTTTATAAATACATTTATGTTATACATAGAAACAGCCAGACCAAATCAAACATTAAATGTTCATGCACACAAATGTTTGGCTTGAGCGGGAATTTAACTCGCGACCTTTGGAATAGCAGTCCGTTACACGAACCACTACGCCATCCCGTCGTTGTTTCTACCTACTTCTTCTTTCTTTAATCTAAGTTGAATTATTTAATATTGAGATTGTTTAACTTGAGAAAAGCTTAGGTTATTACTTAAATTTTATGTAAAGCGTTTGTCCGAAATACGGCTAGCGCTGTGGGTTAGAGTGAGAGAGGAGAAGTCTGTCTACCGCAGTCGAATGCGTGAGAGAAAGGGAAGCCAGATAGACTGGCGCCGTAACGTGTTACGTAACGAAGCGGTTTACCCTCCCATAAGAAGGTATCACTTAGAGAACTTTTTGCAAGTGTATTTACAATCGGGGTAAAGATTCGCCAATACCGATATATGTTAGGTGATAGACGTAACGTTTGCGTGTCGGCAGACAGCGCGAGCTGGACCGCGACGAGCTGTTCGAGCGCGCGCGCGCCGAGCTGCTGGACCAGTCGGCCGAGCTGTCGGCCGTGGCCGCCAACGTGTGGGAGCTGCGCCTGCAGCACGCGCTGTGGCAGGCCGCCGCCGAGCGCGTGTTCGGCAACATCTACCTGCCCGCCGCCGCCACCGCGCACGCCGACGTCGGTACGTCTCCGAGCATACTTACTACGAGACAACACTGTTATTGCTGCTTTTTAATCATATACATTTCATCAAATTATTGGTATTAGTCACAGCGGTTTCAAATGTGATTGTAATCTCGTCATATACAAAGTTAAATGGCATTAAAATCCTTTTTCTATATCTAATCGAATCTATCATCATCTAATCGAATAATAATCATTAAGGAGCAGTGGCTTTGTTAATCAGTTATAGGTGTGATATGATTTGTAAATCAAATGATTTATCACATGTAATTGTGATTTTATTCCATCCCTACTTCTAAGCGAATTATTTATCTATCTTATCACACAACCTTAATCCCAACAAAACTCAAATAAATAAACCACAAATCTTAAACCATATACAGCAAGGATTCCCAAACTATTTTCGGCGAGAGACGCCTTTTATTAAATGAATTGATACCCCAGACTCGGATATCCAAATATCATTCTTATAACGAATTGGTATATGTAACACACTTAACTAATACAGTATCTTTTAAATTAATTCAAATAAACACTTGTGGTAATTAATAGGGGTCGATTTTTTATACCGCGTCGACCCCCATAATCAGTTTTTGTTGATGTCGACCCATGAAAAACCGATATCAACCAATTTGGGAATCCCCTATATACAGGAGGTAACAAAAGTGTAGTCATATCTAGAATATGACCACCTTGTATAATATCCACTCCCGCCTAATATTCCCATCATCTTCCCAGCCCTAGTTCCCCGACAAGTGAAGTGCAACACGGCAGACGGTAACCAATCCACAATATGGCTGGACCCGTACGACTTTGACAACAGTAAGAGGGGTATCAAACCTTTTTGTATAGCTCTTGGGTATTCACAAATAGTAAATGTAATTTTTAATTATCACTCGTAGACATTATGATCACCATCATCAACAGCCTTTGATAGTCCACTGCTGGACATAGGCCTCTCCTTAGAAAGGAGGTTTTGGCCTACTATACCACACTGGCCAGACGGGTTGGTATAGGGTTTGTTTCAAGTTTTCCTCCTCTTAGTAGTTCTGTTTTCCTGCGTAGTTAGCTCTCTTAATAAAATAAATAAATAAAATAAACTTTATTCTGTAAGAGAACACAGCATACAACTTAATATAAATTACTAACTTAATACAACTACAATAATATTACATTTTTTAAAAGCTTAAAACTATTGACGTACGTGTAACACTATACTACGCTATCTGTGGTCATGAGTATTTAGTAGTCTATGAGACTGTGATCATATATGACGTGGCGCTGACGTGGTCATCACTTTTTTTTTTTGGTACTATGTTTTGCTTGTCACCAAGGAGGCCTCTCAATCTTAACCACATAGATAGCTTGTGCGGATGAGAGTTGTACGCTGTGTCCCACAGAATAGGTGGACCCTCAGCATTTACTGTGATGGACATGGTCCGTCCCAGTACTGATTTCTTTCTGTGTGTCGTTAGTCGATTCTTACGACACCCACGAGGGGATGAAATGTTTCCAAAGACCTTTCATAGTATCTATATAAAATTTCTATTAATTCACAGATAAATTCAACACCGCCGTTGACATAAAACTCCGCGAGTGGGCAGAAGCTGAGCTACCTACCACCTCGATCAGAGCCGGTCGTGAAGCTTTGAGGGAAGAGTTCACGGATCTCATGTCCAGGGCTCAGGACTCGGACCCTGTGTATGAGCCTGTGAAGAAGGAGGCTGTAGAAGAGGCGTTGAGAAGGCATCAGTGGGAGGACAGAGCGCAGGATGTGAGTACTACTTTTTAAAGTTAGTAGCTTTCATATAAAACTTTATGGTCACTGTTACGCTCCTGTTACGGTCATAGCGTAATGTTACATTTTTTTTCTATAGTCTTCCTCAATTTATACTTTACCCAATACAAAAGGAATCATTTCTTTTTTTCTTTCTTTTTCTTTCTTTTTTTTAAAAAGACAACCCCCGCACTAGGAATAAATCCTGTGTCGCGGGGGACTTTACAAACATACATGAAACGGACACAAAGTACACCCAGACTCAGAACAACAATTTGTGGATCACACAAAGTGTCGTCCCATGTGGGGTTTGAACCCACAACACTCGGCGCAATAGAAAGCGGCGTGGCGACCGCTTAAACCACTACGCCATCCATGCAGTCGAATCATTTAAATTCTTATTTAAATCACCTATTCTAAGATTTTTTACTTTTTAACCTTTTTTATATGAATGCATATAAAATTAATAGCCTACATTAAAATTACTGACTGGCTGATTTATCTACGCAGAGCCTCCAAATCCAAATTACTGGGGCTACAAACTTAAAATTTTGGCAGCTTAAGGTTTAATGTTGTAAGCACCCACTAAGAAAGGATTTTTAAAGAGAGTTTACCCCTAAGGGGGTTAAATAACACTAACTGGGTTACTTTACTCATCTTTAGTGGTTTTAATCATCATCATCATCATCGCAGTCCACTGCTGGACATAAGCCTCTCCCATTGCACGCCACCTAGATCGCTTTTGAACTTCTGTATTATTTTGGTTTTAATGCCTGTTCGCATATGATGGTTAAGAGGCTTAGAATACTACTGAGCTAGGAATACCTGAATTTATTTATTTTTAAGATTATCTAGACACAGATAAAATGTCTTATTTCTTTTTTCTTATTTTCAGTTTTTTCCCCATCTTTTGCTTGTTCAATTTCGTCAAGAACAGCTAAGTGTAATTTCCGTTTATGTATGTGTGTTGTAGGTGCTCCGGGTCTTACAGCTGAACGCTCTTCAAGACCGCTGCGTGTCGTCGCGCCAGGACTGGGACGCGGCCGTCACGCTCATGGACAGCGCTGTCAAGGAGAGGCTCGACTTGGTCAACAAGGAGCTCAAGGATCTCACAGGTCAGTATACAGGCATTTTGTGATTAGTAAATTGAAATAAATAAGTCGTTTGAATATCATGTGATTAAATATGGGATAGACATAGGGATGTGTCATCCAGTTCTCTTCGATTTGATGAACTTCGAAAGATTATAGTAAAAAAAAGCCGTGTGGTGTCGTGGGACACCCGATAAGAACGAAGTTGTGACGATCGAGTAAAACTGATTCGACACGATTTTAATTACAACGCCATCTATAAAAGCGGCTATTACCTACATATTTTTCAGTTGGTTTCTATTTAAAACAATTTATACATCGGCAAAATCTTCTTGAGAAATAATGTCGAATACAATATTTTTTGCTCAACCTAATAACATAAATTTTAATTTTACCGAGATGAAAAGTAATGATTTCCTATCTATTCGATAGATGGCGCTGAATGACTGACAAGTGACAATTCAAAATAAAAAGTGTCGTTACAACTTTTCGTGAGATTTTTTTCCGTTTAGCACAACGCGCGATAAGGAACTTCGTTCAAATAATTTTGTTTATATAATAAAATGTTCCCTATTCATCCCGTGGACTGCCTAGGCCCCGGGCTGAAGGAGCGCTGGCTGTACTGGCAGGCCAGCTCGGACGAGCAGGCTCGGCGCGGCGAGGTGCGGGGCGAGCTGGAGCGCCTGGGCGTGGCGCGGCCCGCGCTGGCCTACGACGAGGTGGTGGCCGTCAGGGACAACCTGCGCCGCCGCGGCATCGACGTCGACAACGACTACATACGGGAGACGTGGAAACCGGTCTACCTCAGGTCAGACAAATACCAGACCGTTCAAACTATACACAATTTACGTGCGATCACATCCTTAAACTGATTTACAAAGAGATTCTCAAATCGAACAAATATTTTTATTTATAACTAGCTGACCCGCGCAACTTCGTCTGCGTCTCTCAATAGTAATAAATTTTCTCCGTTTTTGAAATATTCTTCATTGGTGCTCCGCTCCTATTGGTCTTAGCGTGATGATATATAGCCTATAGCCTTCCTCGATAAATGGGCTATCTAACACTGAAAGAATTTTTCAAATCGGACCAGTAGTTCCTGAGATTAGCGCGTTCAAACAAACAAACTCTTCAGCTTTATAATATTAATATAGATAATAAATGTTATTTTTTATTTACTCGGTGTAAGGACCATCGTAACGAATACTGAATTAGTATATTCAGACCAGCATTCCGAGTCTAAGATCATTGGAATTTTCTGCCGGCAAATTGAACTTTCTATGCAATCAACATCAATCAATCAACGGTTGAGGTTATTCCCCGTTGGTATCGCACAACAGTAATAACTACATGTGTACTCCGTGCAAACAATACACACGCTAACATACGCTCTTTGGCCATTTGATTAATTACATTTTAACCGTTTGCGGTATTTATTAATTCGTTTTCGATATCATCAGGATCATGGTCTGAATATACCATTTCAGTATTCGTTACGATGTCCCTTACACGCTGTATAACATCTATCCTCTCGCTTTCTGTGAGAGTAATTCCATGAACGGGGACGGAAATGTGTAACATGATGACGAGATACTGTTTGTTCATCATCATCCATCGATCGGTCGAATGGTAGTGAAATGTTAGTTGTAAATCACTGCAGTTTTTTGTACAAACAAAATGTGTTTACACAATATTTACATCCTTTATATTCACCAATAATACCTTTTATAACAAAATTAGTTACCCATTGTTTTATTTTAATTTGAATCAATAACAAATATTACACCTTTGAAGGGTCAAAACTTGATTTAAATTGAAAATTTTTACTAAGATTTAGTAGACACATTTTATTTCATTATTTCTATTTTAGCAATTTTAGCAGTAAAAACAATAAGTATCAATCAGTGGCTAGTGTAGTATGAAGGAACGGGTGTCGTGTCCCTCCAACACACAGTGAGGATCCTCCGACCAGGCGAGGTAGTCATGGTTGACCGGCCTCAGCCCAACAGTTGAGGTTGGGAAGTTGTATATGCTAATCGGAATGAAAATTATTCATATCGCGATACAGGATTAGCAGTTATTCCGTAGTTCGGTGTGTCTCCGTTAGATGGCGCTGAAATATGTTTTCGTTTCACTATATGTGGAAGTCGCCACAGTACTAATGGGTGTTTGTCGTTTGCAGGAACTTCCTACTGCGCGCCCAGACACGCGCGCGCGACTGTCGGAAGAGCTTCTACCTGTACAGCCAACAGAACGGGAACGGGGTATGTGCTGCTGCAATTCATTCCCTTATTCATTCATTCACTCTAATGTAACAGAGTGCTTCGAGGAATTGTTCAAACTAATACCTTCAAACCTTAAAGAAAACAGCATACGCGTTCCTAAAAGGCTGGCAACGCGTTTTTGACTCCTGAGTGGCAGGCGTTCATGAGCGGCTGTGGTTACTTTCCATCAGGTGACCCGTCTGCTCCATTGCCCCCTATTCCATAAAAAAAAAAGATACTAGCAAAACACTCGGAACTCTTGAGTAACCATTTGTCATGGTTCATCTGCTTAAGTTTGGTAAATTTTTTTAAATTAAAGTTATTTATTCTTCAATCAGTGACCAGTTGGTTTAACAGAAAAAACAATTAATTTTGACCTTACATGGTACCTTAGTAGGGTGGTAATTTATATTATTTATTTTTAAATTTCCTGAAAATATATATTTAAATTACACTATTAATTTATGTTATACTAGCTGACCCATTACATTATTACATTATTTAATTATTTTTTTTTAATTTCTTAAAATCCGTTCTTAGCTGACCTCTACTCGGTGAAAAGAATATTCCTACCAAATTTCAAGTCTTTAGCTCTAATGGTTCCAGAGATATCGTGATGAGTGACTATATACGTGGAAATCTCTTATATATATATATAGATATAAGAGATAAAATATAAACCGAATAATACGAATGGTTATAAGAACTGTCAATAAATATAATTATAGAAAAAAAGTTGATTTTTTTGCATTTAATGGTTTCCAGAAAGAATGCTGCGAGGTGGTGATGTTCTGGCGCGTACAGCAGACCCTCAGGACCACGGCCAACGCGCTGCGACAACAGATCGGGAACCGGGAGGCCAACAGGCTTGACCGGGAACTTAGGGAAGTTTTGGATGAGGTGAGTTGGCCATCGCCACGCCGAGAGCTGAACAGACTTGCACAGGAACTTATGGAGGCGTTGTAAGGATGAGTGTAAACCACCCATTAGGTTAACTTATTCAACCAGGATTTTAGGAAAGTGGTAAAAAAGGTCAATTCTCTTGAGATCTCCAGTGTGAGTAACTCCACACCTAACCGTGGAAATTACGTTTCCTCTCATGGAATCCTAGAAAAACGTAAATCGAGGTGAGTGGCTGTGCACTAAACTGGGAGAGAATACTCAGCCGGGATCTTAAGGTGCGGGCCGATTTTTTTGATCTAGGATCCAATCTCCCAAAAGGCTTGAGCGGGTACTTGTCTTTAATTTAATTAATATTTAATTTAATCCTTAGAAAAACAGAAATCGATGAAATGCATTTCAATTTTACATTTGATAATATTCGGAGATAAATATATCTAATTTATTCATTATTGCTAGTAGCTATGCTGATCATTCGTCTTGGCGTCGTATCAGTGATAAAAGCAAGCTACGCATAAAATGTTGCTAACTTAATACATTTATATTAATATGATCGTTAATGGAGTCAGAACAAAACATCCCACCATCATTCCGTGAACAGAATAAACCCTAGATTAATGGCAACAGAACTTATATTGTCAATGAACTTATTCTACTTAGATTTGTATTTTCTGTCCTTAAAAAAATCACTAGCCAAAATAATTTTTATGTAAAATATTCGAAAATTTAAAGCTAAATTTACATTTTGCCTAGGTTTTTTACTGACCTGATAACGTAAATTCATGGCAGTTCCCATATTAGTGGTACAGATAAATAAACTTAAACTAAAATTGCAAAATTAAATTTAATATGATGCTACTATAATGATGGCGTAGTGGTTTAAGCGGTCGCCACGCCGCTTACTACTACGCTAAATGTTCTAAGTCCGATCCCCACATGGAACGACAATTTGTGTGATCCACAAATTGTTGTTCTGAGTCTGGGTGTTCTGTGTCCGTTTCATGTATGTTTGTAAAGTCCCCCGCGACACAGGATATATTCCTAATGCGGGAGTTGTCTTCATAAAAAATATATATATATATACACTATTGAATCGATATTATTTCGTGGTGTCAAACTTCATAATTATTGTGTTACAGATGGCAGCTGATCCTGAACTAAAGAAGAAGCTGCTATCAGGGAGGAGAGTAGAACTAGCAGAAGAATTAAGTGAGTTGTTTTCTATTAATCGGAATGGCCCATTTAAATTTTTGATTACTAATGATAAAACAATTAATTATTATTTTTAAAATTATGATTTGGAGTAAATGCATTACACGTCCAACAGGTATAAATCTATACTAATATTGTTAAGCTGAAGAGTTTGTTTGTTTGATTTTTTGTTTGAACTCGCTAATCTCAGGAACTACTGGTCCGATTTGAAAAATTCTTCCAGTGTTATATAGCCCATTTATCGAGGAAGGCTATAGGCTATATATCATCACGCTAAGACCAATAGGAGTGGAGCACCAATGAAGAATGTTTCAAAAACGGAGAAAATTTATTACTATTGAGAGACGCAGACGAAGTTGCGTGGGTCAGCTAGTTAAAAATAACCCTTGATTAAATAAATTTTCTTTGATTATAATTAAGAATGCTGTCACTAAAGACATTTTTCAAATGAAAATATAAAATTTATTCAGCCGTTTACAAGCTCATCTTATCTCAGCTCGTTTACAAGCGATTGTCTCAGGGTTTACAAATTGGGTGACAGGTGAGGCCACCTGTCACCCTAGCAGCAGCAGGCCGGGGTGGCGGCGAGCGTGTTGCGAAGCGCGCTCGCTTCCAGGGAGCACAGGGAACATGGGGTTCCCACACGGGGGGGGGTCGTCTACTCGCTGTAGACGACCCGAGGTATGTCGGGGCACCAGGGACTTCCTTTCTAGGGCATACCTGGTTCCCCGGCTATTAGTACTCGAGACGGCGTGCGGTTTTAGTCGGTTCGAGTCCGACATGCCACCGACAGGTGGTATCCGAGGGGATTTCCGCACGGAAAAAAAAAGGGTCCTATATGCAAGTAAAACCCACCGAAGATTTGTCAAGTTATACCTCTCTGCTATACTATATTTTTGCTGATAAGTGCAGTAAGCATTTTTACCAAGTAACCTCTGCCGTGTACATGTTGCGAATCTCTGCCTACCTGCACGAATGGCGTAGTGGTTTAAGCGGTCACCTCGCAGTTGTGGGTTCGATCCCCACATGGGACAACACATTGTGTGATCCACAAGTTGTTGTACTAAGTCTGGACGGACATAAAAAACACCTTTATCCGTTTTATATATCCCACAATCAATTCATGTTTATCTCTTTTCCAGAGAGAGTAAGACAAGTGCAAGAGAAATTAGAAGAGTTCATAGAGGCGCTCAACAAAGAGAAATAATTGTTAGACGTTATTTATTAGTTATATATTATGTACGTATACATCTACTAAACTAGGCCCGGGCGAGTTCGCCGATGCAGCTAACGTTAGCTATGCACACCGCTCACCCAGCATTTTCGAATCCTCTTGACATTTGAGGAGTGGAAACTCTTCAAGGTCAGAAGATCATTTTAAATTTATTATAGCATTTATTTGAAGGCTGGTACCTTCATAGCGGAGTTGCCAGTTGCCCCTCTGGCCAGCGTGGTATAGCAGGCCAAAAGCTTCTTTCTAAGGAGAGGCCTATGTCCAGCAGTGGACTATTAACTCTTAGGACGTCACGGCGCGCGGATGATCTATGACCCGTTACTGGTGGCCTTTGAACTAGTGACCCAGTCACAGCTGAGCGAAGTCATTATTACCTCAATATCTACGTTATTTTATAATTATATTCAATGAATTAAAAATATTTGGAATCCCTGATAAATATTTTTCTAAATGTTGTGACAGAGACGCTACCGCGTAAAAATTTGGTGTCACAACTGTTGTGACGGCGGCGCGTCGGAGTTTAAAGGCTGTTGATGTTTTGAAGGTTGCTTTTAAGTGTATGTATATTTCATTGGCACACTCTGTAACTCATCAACTTAATGGGTTTTGGCGTTTGAGGTGTATTTAGTTTCGTCTTAATTGCGAGTGACACTCGGGATAAAAAAAATAAATTCCCATATTTGTAAATTTTCATACAGTTAGATTTTTTTTATGGATAATTATGAATTTAAGATCATGATTCGTGTTATTTAACTGAAAGATAGTTCCTATACCATGTGTTGGATTTTGATTCCCTTTGACTGCTACTAAATTAAATGGTATGACTTACAATGAATGCCGAATGCCTAAAAGGCACACAGGACTTAAAGAGGGGATGTAAACTCATAAATATAATGTAAGTAACATTTGTTTGAATATTTCTACATATTTTGTATATTGTTTCATATTCCCCTCTGATATGCCACTACTACTACACCAATATTTAAAACTATGAAATACTCGTACAATATATTTAGTGAATACTTATTTAAACGTGTTAAATATTACTTTTTTGATATAAAGTTTGTGAAGGTTATAATAATTTGTTAAAAAATAAAGAAGTTATTTGTGATTATATCTTAGGCTTAGTAAAAAATGAAAGTTCAGCCGTATCGTAGCAGCCGACCCTTATCTAGTTTGAGAAGAAGGCTCGGAGGAAAAAAAAAACAGGGTGTAAGGGACGTCGTAACGAATACTGAAATAGTGTATTCAGACCATCATTCCGAGTCGAAAATCATTGGAAATTTCTGCCGGAAAATTAAACTTTTTATGCAATAAGCTGTCAAAGGTTAAGGTTATGTCCCGTAGGTATCGCACAAAAGTAAAAACTACATGTGTATTCCGCGCAAACAGTCTACGCACACTAAAACAAAATGGCGGCCGGAGGGGAGGCCCCGCGCGTTTCGGCTGTTTGATTAATTACATTGCAGTTTTTTTTATTTATTTAATTGTTTCTGTAAAATGTTCTGTGTACTCATTGTGATATCATTTTACACCAGAAAAATGGAAAAAGAAATTAATTTACAGGCAGAAAATTTCATTGAATTTCGACTCAGAAACGTGGTCTGAATACACTATTTCAGTATTCGTTATCATGTCCCTTACATAGTGTATATCTTAGGCTTATTGATGTGTGTGAACATGTGCCTTTATTATAATACAAGTTATTTATTACTAGTTGGTGACCGGAACTTCCATCGTGTGTCCCCCCCCCCCCCCCCCCCCCCCAAGAAGAGGGAGAGCCTTTGGCCTCCAGAGCTCTCCCATAAATTTTATGAGTATTAAACAAAGGATGTTTGTTTGTTAATGAATGAATTTTTCTAAATATACATTCAAAGTTAATTATATATTATCCAAAAATGTGCAACTACACTAGTAAAGGTTATCCGAAGAAATATTTAAATTGAACTAAACCCCTGTACTCTATAGCTACATGTAATTATTGTGAACCCTATGGTACCTGAATAGGGGTATAGTACACTCCGTATTCTTAATCCGTCACCACACGGACCCGTGGGTGTCGTAAGTAAACTACGCAGGACAACAACACTGCAAAGAGAAGGAAAACTTGACACAAACCCTATACCAACCCGTCTTTCCAGCGTGGTACAGTAGGCCAAAGCCTCCTTTCTAAGGCCTATGTCCAGCAGTGGACTATTAAAGGCTGTTGATGATGACTGGTATCTGCATCGGCGATCGTCGCATCTATACGTTGTATTATTTTGTTACTTATTTAACTGCTTGAATCTAAGTTGTCTTATAATAAACGTTAAAGAAAAAGCTTGCTTTTTATTAGTATATTTTTATTGATAAATGCAATAACAGAACATATACATAACAATTTACATCATTTTGCTTACTTTTAACTTTTTTTTTTACTTTTTTTCTTTTGCTTTTTTTAGACTTTTAAAGTTATGCTTTATTTATAATCTGTGGACAATGAATGCAAAAAAAAACACTTAAAATTAATACTAAAGGACAATAGCATGATTTCATTTGAACTGAAATGGTAGCGTTTAAATATCTACATAACCTAAAACACTTGGAATTTATTCTTGACTATTCTCATAACAAAATAAATAGCGAAAGGAGTCTAAGAAAAAAATGTTGGATTTTGAATGTTTCGAGATAAAGTACAAACATTGTCAATGTTTTGTTTGAAACTAGAGTCCCATCTAATCGAAGAGGGTACTGTTTGACATTTCTGACAGATTGAACTATAGCGATGGGGTCAAAGAAATCGATTACTAAAATATCTGATTCTTAGAGAATTAATAGGTAATGATTTATACAAGAATTCTCAAGAAATGATTTCTTGAGAATTCTTGTATAAATCATTACCTATATATCATAAAACGGGACAAGTTATTGTTTAGTAGTCTTAAGTAGATATTTATCACTTTCTCACAGTAAATAAGGTTAGAACATAATTCAGTATTTGTTAACTGTACTGTACTGTACTTTATTTTGCAAAATATTCGTTCATGTTTTAAGTAACATTATAACTAAAGCCCTGTATTCTGTATCTAAATGTAATTATTGTGAACCCTATGGTACCTGAATAGGGGTGGTGACACTCCGTATTCTTAATCCGGCTCACGGTGTGTGGTGACACACGGACCCGTGGGTGTCGTGGGAGCCGACTAAACTTCGCAGGACAACAACACTGCGTAGAGAAGGAAAACTTGACACAAACCCTATACCAACCCGTCATTATATTAGTTACTTTGTAATGCACGATTAATACCCGATTGTACTTTGAATTGCATAACATTGTTATTAATTAACAAATTAAAACAATATTCTGGTAACAAAGAATGCTTAAGACAGCTACAAGCCGTTTATTTATTATATTTAATACAATATCTATATAATATCTTTATTCCTTTCTTAAACATCTTACAATCTAGTGGCTGGGGTCTCCTGTTAAGCAATGAGAAGGCTTTCCTAGGAGTCTCTGCTCGTCCTAATGTTTCACAATAGTGTATAAGTAGAAAAAAGAAATGAAATAAAAATGCAACTGTATTATATGAAGCAAACCAAGAGAGAGAGGGAAGCTATTTATAGGATACCTACAATATTTGCCCCTCAACAGTTTACCCACCCACATATATTTAACACTCATACACATAACATACACACATATGTACACACACATATTATTATTTTTAGTGTTATTCTGCAGGTCTTAATTTGGTAGGTAAGTATTATTTTGTAAAAGTTCATGGGAAATAATTAATTGAGTAATGAGGGTATAAAATGTGTGTAACTTTCAGTGTAACATATTAAATTAATATCAATATATTATTTTAGTCGCATCTACTGTGCTGAATGAGGCGCCAAGAAATGGCGTACGCTAATACAGTATACCGACTAGTATATACATATAAAACTATGAGCAAGGCAATAAAAGGTACGACTCCAACCAACTTTTTACTGTTACAAAGTAATTACCTACTTAGCATTTTCGGAAATAAACTTATGGCAATAAAATACTGCTGCTAAATACAATACACGATCCGCTACTTAGCGATTATTACTTAAATAAATTATGAAATAATTTTATAAAACTAGATACACAATAATCGAGACTCACCTATTTAAAAAATCTATAAATCCACTTAAAAATCTGCTAAAAATCGAAATGGATAACGTAACAAAAAGTACAATGAAAAGATAAAATAAAATTTTGTAAAATATAGTATAAAATTGATCTATAATTTCTATGAAAGAAAGCTAAAAGAAAAAATTAAAGTTTAACCTCTTGCAATTTTTAAACCACTACCCTAAAGTTTTGAAAAAACTTGTTCGATAGAAAAATACAAACCTTTGTATAGAAAAACAAAAGACTTAAGTAAAACTAAACATTTCAAATGGTATATTTTAACCATGAAACATAGCAAAACACTAAGCAAAAATCTCGGCATGCATGAAGAACATAACCTCCTTATCCTCACTTTTCAGGCAAAGCTCATTGATTTCTTCCTTTACAGCATCTTCTAAGTTATACTGACATGTTTGTAAAATATGGACTGCCAATCGGGCCTCACTTCCAACACTTTCTGAGAGCATACACTTTATAAGTGATGCTATGAATTTACCTTTAGAAGCGCCAGATACAAAGTAACTGCTCAAATAGTCTGTAAACGCATTGCGGTATAACTCCATAACCGAGTCAAAGTAATTAGACTTCAGTAAGGCCACTTCTTTAACAATATAACGTCCGAACGTAGAACCCACGACGTCTACGCCTTCGGTCTGTTTCTTCACGGGGTCGTCGAATATTTCAGGTTTTTGTTTCATACTCTGTCGAATTGCTTTATAGTATAACATAGTGGCGTGTATTTTGGCGTATTCTTCAAAATGTGTCTCCTTGGTCAACACATTTAACAACCAAGCTAAAACCCTCTCAATGACCACTAAACAATGATTGTATTTTATATCAAAGAACGCTGCATTGTACTTTAGAGAACTCATAATCTGGTCAAGATTCTCCTTAAAATACTGACTTCGAAAGTCATCGTCGCCCTGACGAAATGCAGTAATTTTTTCCAAAAACGGTTGTCCTATTTGTTCAAACCTAGATGTCTCTTCTTCGTCGCTTTCGCTCAGCATTAAATATCGGATGACAATAGCTGGGAAAGATACAGCATCGTTCGAGTCAACCTTTTTCAACGTTTCTGTTAACACGTTCTTTAGCAGATCCCCACTAACTTGAGGAAGAAATTTCATCACATAGCGACGAACATTACCTGCGTCTCTGTCGGATACTTTATCAAGGATAAGGCACAAAACCGCACAATATTCTGGTTGCATGACAATAGGAAGCCAATCATAATTTTTAAGTACACGACGAAGACCTTGGCGACATGTGAGGTCCACGCTCGCGATGTAAGGTTTAACGATATCATAAACTCGTGGATCAGCTGCCTCACCAAGAATTCTGTAATAAGGTAACGCAGCACGTAAGGCTGCCAGCGGCCTGATCGTTACTGCAGTTGCAAAAATGTCCGCCACACTAGTCGTGCGCTGCGCTAACACCAGTGCTAAGCGCACCGTTCGCTTAACACGCTCTTGCAACAACGTTTGAATTAGTTGCGTTACTTCTGACGGACGACAGCGAATTGCTCGCCAAGCAACTGCCTTCATACCAATTTTGCGCCACCCAAGAGCTAACGCGTCCGGAGCTGGCCGAGCACGATGTATGTTAGCTCTTAGAGCTGCAGCCAACTTGTGATGTTCTTTGCCTGCCAGATCTTGCTCCTGTATTATCGACTCCATATTTTTACCAGCAAGTGTCGCTAGCGGTCGTGCCAATTTAACATTAGGTCTCTCTACTATTTCATGTAGTAAGATACTACTCATCTGTTCAGCGATACCATTCGGCTCGTTAAAATAAACAGCTAGCTTCAAGAAAAACCGGTTGCCACGCGTTTCTCCGTCAGTTAATAACTTGACAAGCCACTCAGACTTTAGAGCCCTGGGGTCATGTCGCAAGACATTTAATAGTGCAGCGTCATCGCGCTTGAACGCCAAGTTATGGTGAAATAACTCACGACGACCAACACGAGCCTTGTAGAGACGCTGCAACAGCGATCTTGCTACTTCAGAATCACGATCTGCCAGTGTTTTAATGTCTGCTACTACCGAGTTAAATGGAATACGATACTTTTCAAACACATAAAGTAAACGATCAAGATAGCTCGCTGATACCTCCGGTTTTGCATCACGCGCAGCTGATGTTAAAATATGCTGTAAACCATCAGCAATTTTTGCACGTTCTGCTGTATTAAGCTTGTACTCTTCAAGCGTAGAAAAGTCTTCAAGAAAAGCAGAACGCACTGCCCCCACACAGTCTCCAGTAGTCAGAAGCTGACGGAGTACTACTGCGTGAAGTCCTTCGCGACACTGAGCTTCTGATCGTGTACCGTCGAGGCCGAGTCCTTGACCATACTCCAACATTGAGTCCCACACATCCTGCGGTAAACGCCAAACGTTTGCTCGTTTTACAAGGCTACGGACAATAGCAGCACGCTCGTGTACAGGCTCATTTCGAAATCGCAATGCAAATTGCAGCATTTCGCGCACACAGTCAGGACGCCCGCCACTTTTACTTACTAACACTAGCAGCATGTCACGACGTCTATCAGCCGAACTGACTGCATTTATGCGTCCACGCAACTCATGTAGAGTTCCGTTAAAACCTACGAACCTAAACTCATCGAAGAGTTTCTCAAGTTCTGACTTCATTCTATGATTTATGTAATCACTTTCCCTTAAGGCACACATTCCTGCTGTGTAGGCACAACACTTATTTCTCATCGCCATCCGCCCATATCCTAAATACCATTTCAATTGGATTGGTTCATAGTCTTGATCATGGAATACATGCGACTCGTTCGTACCCAAGTCCTTGACTACTGGTAATGCTGGAAGTGCGTATGGCCATTCAGCCACACGTTCGCCAACATCTTTTTTAACAAATACTCTTTTCTTGAAAGCAGCTCTACTTTGAGAGTTCAGGCGTTTTACAAGTGGCTCCACATTTGCATAGGAAAACCACCAACTTAGATATTCGGCTCGCGCCAGTTTGAGAACCTGCTCTTGGCACTCCTCCACGCTGAGGCATTGCGCCACAGTAGGCATGTGCAAAAGATGAGCAATGTACAGTTCTGACTTTGCCATAAATCTGTCTTTATGGTAACGCAAGATGTGTTTAGTAGCCGCCGGACTAAGCTTGCTCTGTGTCGTTAAATTGTGATATTTTTCTGTTATGTCTAGAAATACTTCAGGATCTGACTTCAACAAGAATATAATACTTTTGTAGAACTCTTGTTCGTCTTTAAGATACCTCTTAACTAATTCGTTATCTGATGAAAACGAGTCATAGTAAATTTTGACTAGTTTAGGGCACTTCTCTCCCAGCACCTTCAGGTAATGGGGGTTTATCTGAGTTAATATCTTAGGAATCTCCTTCAATAAAAATTCATTATCACAATGACGTAAAAATTTTACAGCGAAATCAAATTTTATATTTTTGTAATACTCATAAAATTCTTGGCACGTAACAGGATCACTTAGATTGATATACAGCCAGTGTTTAAATTTGGAAATGGCCGGCAAGACCATCTGTGGGTAAAGCACATCTTCTAAATAATTAGGATTTACTATATCACGTCGTTCTAGGAGCCATTTACATTTTAAGGCTCTGCTGACATACAACATGTCGTCATCTTTTAGACTTTTGACAATATAATCAACATTCTTTAGTTTAATAGCGATATCTATCTTAATGAGTCGATCAACCGCTGTTTGTTCAGTGAGAGCTTCGATATCTTGAGCAGACACCTGACCAGCAGTAGCCGCCTCATTTACTTGTAAGTTGAGGCGACGATGTCTTTCTCCTAGGCTGTCGCCCGATAAAGTCGTAGGTAGAATCAGTGCCATCTGTTGGCAAACAAGAAAACGTTAATCATCACACCATGAACGTAAATCATAACATATTTGTTTACTAAAAAGCATACTGTGTTAATACGCTAGGTCTTAGATTGTTATTATGTCTAGACAGAGCATCGCGCTGCAAAAGAGAACGAACAAGAAATGAGCCAAGTTTTAAATTAATGTTAATGGGCGTATCTGCTTCGTCTGACACTCAAGTTGCGTCATTCTGCTTTCCTAATGTGCATGCCCAAATGATAACAATTGTTGAAAATTTTCTTGTAAATAAGAACAATTATAACGTGTTGATCTATTTATTGAGAAAAATTTACCTACTCTCAGAAAATAAAACAATAATATAAATATGGGTTGAAAATAATGAAATGTACGCGTTTTGATCAACACGCAAAAGTTTTTTTAACACATGTCATGTATACGAAACTTAGCAGAGTTTGTACTGATCGATTGATTTAAATGACATCCATTTAAATTTTATCGCTTTTGGAATATCACGAATTCACAACATATTACTACAGAATAAGGAGACGTTACAAGTAAGTTTGACGTACAATACATAATATATCTTAAAGCGAGTTCTGACTTAAGTTTAAAAAAATTTAAAGAACGATAAAAACAAAATTAAAAAGTCACCTAACATCCGTAAGCACCATTGTTTCGTCTTAGTTACGATTTTATTACGGTTTTCACCAATAGAGAGAGAGAGAGTCATTCAAGAGGAATTATTAAATGCATACTTTAGAGAAAATCTAAGAATTTCAAAGATTTAATGTAGAAAAAACCGGTCAGGTCGAAAAAAACGAGTCGAAATCGTTTGCCGAGGCCAGATTTTACGTATATTTTCGCGAAAATTTGTAAGTACCAAAATTTATCTTAATTTTCAACTATTTATATTTTTTGGAATTATTCCTTTATTTGTGCTGTAAGACATTTCTTTTTGAAAAATTTCGTGATTCTAGGTCAACGGGAACTACCATATAGGTTTTAAGGATTTACATCCACTAAAGATAATACGTTTTCCGAAAATACAATTCAACAATCATCAAGATAATTAAATGTGTATCATTTTTTTCTTAAAAGCTATCTCGAGTTATTGAAAAATAGACATTGAAGTTTTTATTATTATGAAATAAATGCTCGAAAGGCACGCAGGATAGGTACATAATAATCAGTGATCAATTACTTCCACAGCTAAGGATACCTAAAACTACGAAGGAAATCGTCAGTTATTGAATCATTTCTTCTTACCTTAGTTCGTCGCAATGTACTTTGGTTCAGGATAGTAACAATTTAATTTAGATTGCACTTTAACTAGCATCTCACTGCACTTTCTAGTAATATTACTGTACCTACTCTGTCTACTGCACGTTTTCACAATGTACCCCACAACGCCCTTAGTAGTAGCCGGTGACTTAATAACACAAAATAAGACAATTAAAAATTACGTCTACTTGACCTTGATGTGGCGTTTTCGAATGTTGTTATGTATAAACACATTAGATAATCGATGTTTCTTATCTAGAAAATAATAATATGTACCAACTTTTTAAGATTTGTATGTTATTTTGATTTAAACTGATTAAAACATCAAAGAGATTTAAGATTTTTTGTTGTTACAGACCAAACAACAGCTGTTTGTTGTTGTACCTTCCATTGAACATAGTACTGTCTGTGGTACTTTCTATACTATGGATTTACTTGAAATAAGTATGAATCAAGTACTAGCATTATATTTGTAACTTACTATTACAGTAAACATATAACCAATGTAATAAATAAACATATAACTAACAAACATAAAATACTTTTAGACAAAGAAAACTGTCAGAATACAGGATAATCTGTGTAAGATTACAGAGTATTAATAAAGCAGTAAAGCAGTGTTGCCTTTATAAAATTAATTATAGCTACTAAAATAGTACACGAGGTGTATTTTTAAATGAATTTATCTCGGCTTATTAATTCAAAGTTAGAAAAGGTACAGAGATATTTTGAAGATGACATAAATTCACTCACATAGGTCACTAGTTAAGTAAATTTGAAAATCGAACACAAAAGGCCATTTACAGCAATTAAAAAAAAGTAGAAGTATTTTACTGTCATCATTTCCCGCTTTTTCGTCTGCTATAGTGGAGCCTAAACGTGAACATTTGCGTGCTTTGATATATTACGACTTTAAATGGCGTTTATCTGAAGATTTAAACTTAGAACGACTAAAATCAGCTTTAGGTGTCTGCTCCTTCTCGGGCATGTTTAGATGGTTTAACGAATTTAAAAGAGGGAAAACTAGCCTTGAAGATGATGACAGACTACTGATTTGGTACTTGGTCCAGATTCACGTTTGGATTCGAAATTTCGTAATAATAGTTCGTATCAAATAAATGTATCAAAATAAAATAAAAAAGTAATTGCTATGTCTAATTCACTAAGAGGGTTATTTTTTGTTTTGTTTTTTATTAACCTAATTATTTTTATATACGAATAACAATGGGAGATTCATTTTGACACTGATGATGACGACGACTCACTGTCATCAACCAGACTTATACAATTACCTATTACTTGAGGTGTGATTTGATGAAAAGATTATTTTATCAATGTTCATGTAATACAGACGTGTAAATTCTGTAACCAATACGTATGGAAAATGTATTAAATTTAAGAAAAAAAAATATTTGCAGAATAATAATATAAAATATTGATTACATTTTGATAAAATCTTGATAACATTTTGTTTATGGTTTCTTATTGTCATTAGATTCTTACATATAGTTTGCTACTAAAGCTAACATTAAACTAGTGTAAGACTATTCTGGAATGTGCTATTACTATTCTGAGTGAATATTAAAAAATGTAAATCAAAATATGTCATAATATTAAAAAAAAAATGTATACATAAATATATATTACTTATTATTTGAAAACCTCATTAAAAAAATTTTTTTTTGCAGTTTCTGGCAAACGGTAAAAGTTAGACAAAATAGTTCAAAGGAAATTCTATAGAGCTTAAAACTTTACATAAAAGAGAAATAAGACTTTTCCTCCAGTGATAATTAACCGAGATATCGATTAAGTTTAAGGGATGAACGTAAATTTAAAAAATCGTAGGTGGAAAAAAATGAGCCAATTTTCTTTTTAATTGCTCAATAAAATCTAATCTTGAATTTTAGACAGTTTTTTTTGTTATTGTTAAAAAAATAATTAAACAATTTGAAATGGGAATGCTTAAAAGGTCATTATTTTTCTTTTTTTTACCATATTTAGATTCCCATTTCTAAAATTTTAAGATTGAATTTTTTTTTAACCTGGTAACTCAAATCCTACGCCTGATACAACAGCGTAGGATTTGAGTTAAAAAATGAGGACTATTGCTTACTTGCTTAATATTACGCATGCTCTATAGGGATGCAATGGAGTAAATAATATGATTTATAAATGATATTAATTTCTTCTTTCTGTAAGTAAATCTTTTCAGATGTTTTTACAAGTCGGACAAACAAACCACAGAGGTGTCTATTTTAAAGTCAAGTTAAATAAAACTGTGCGAGTACTGTATACGGTCTGGGTAGACCTTTTGAAAAAAGGACCATAGTTTTGAGTTGGCTTGTCCATACAGACGGCATACAGGCTCCAACCATCGTGTGACTCCAACCAACAACCGATATTGGTCAAGATCAACGAACCGAAGCACGACATTACCGCCAGCATGACATTTGGGTAGGCCGTGGTAACGCTCAAAACTAGAGATGGGAATTGTTGCTACTTTTAAATTCACTTTTAAAGTCCCTCTGATTTCACCTGCAAAAAATCGCACCTTTTCTTTAATCACGAGCAGAGCTTGTACACTTGTACTATGAGACTTAGATTGACTGATAGAATATTATATTTTGAGTGCCTAGAGCTGGATCTAGGCACTCTAAAAGTTTAATAAGTATTTTCACTCTCATTATTGTATTTAACTGGCTAAAACGAACGAATTTCTTTCTAATATTTTCATATATTTTGACAATCAAAACACTATGTAATTAACCAATTTTTGTTAACCAATATTTACTGCTTTGTCATACTTAAAAAAAATCTTTGTTATTTTTCTAGTGTTAGCGCTATTCTTCAGGTTGGTTTTTGAACGGTTTTTGAACTCATGGAGGGCAGTGTTGCCAACATAGTGGATTTGCCATTAAAACTGGTGGTTCGACCCCCGTTTTAGTGGCGAAATTTAGCTTTTAGTGGCTAGTGTTTTTTTAGTGGTTTAGTGTTAAGATTATAAGAACTTAGAAAATACTATTTAAAGGTGAACTGTGAGAACTTTTTGTGTACGAAAAATTTCAAGAACGTTGGATAGAAAAGGAATTGATAGAAAATTTAGTGCCTATTGGAGCAGGGTCGTGTTTTGTTAATGGTATTCTGGTGGTTTTAGATGTTGAATCCGGTAGAGAGTTCATTTAACTGTTGGTAGCACTGATAGTTGGACTTATAGTGTTCACCATGTAATACGGTCTACCCTAGTCTATCCCCAAACTAGTGAAGTACTCAAAAGGAAGATGTATGTTTTTATTATTTAAAACTATGAAATAATCGTAAAAATTATTTAATGAATACTTATTCAAAAATGTTAAATATTAATGTTTTGATATAAAGTCGGTGAAGGTTAAAATAATTTATTTAAAAATAAAGATGCAAATTTGTGATTATATCTTATGCTTAGTAAAAAATGTAAAAAACACGATCCCCTACTTAGCGATTATTACTAAAGAAATTATGATAAGTGTATTATGACATAGTTTTATTAAAGTCGAGACAGAATAATCGAGGCTTACCTCTTACCTTAAAAAATCTATAAATCCACTTAAAAATTTGCTAGGGAACATATAAATCGTAATCGATAACGTGAACAAAAAGTACAATGAAAAGATAAAATAATTACTAAAATTTTGTAAAATATAATAATTAATTGATCTACAATTTCTATGAAAGAAAGTTAAAAGAAAAAATTAAAGTTTAACCTCTTGCAATTTACAACCCTAAAGTTTTGAAAAAAACTTGTTCGTTAGAGAAATATAAACCTTTGTATAGAAAAACAAAAGACTTACGTACAACTAAACATTTCAAATGGTATATTTTAACCATGAAACATAGCAAAACACTAAGCAAAAATCTCGGCATGCATGAAGAACATAACCTCATTATCCTCACTTTCCAGGCAAAGCTCAATGATTTCTTCCTTTACAGCATCTTCTAAGTTATACTGACATGTTTCTAGAATATGGACTGCCAATCGGGCCTCACTTCCAACACTTTCTGAGAGCATACCCTTTATAAGTGCTGCTATGAATTTACCTTTAGAAGCGCCAGATACAAAGTAACTGCTCAAATAGTCTGTAAACGCATTGCGGTATAACTCCATAACCGAGTCAAAGTAATTAGACTTCAGTAAGGCCACTTCTTTAACAATATAACGTCCGAACGTAGAACCCACGACGTCTACGCCTTCGGTCTGTTTCTTCACGGGGTCGTCGAATATTTCAGGTTTTTGTTTCATACTCTGTCGAATTGCTTTATAGTATAACATAGTGGCGTGTATTTTGGCGTATTCTTCAAAATGTGTCTCCTTGGTCAACACATTCGACAACCAAGCTAAAACCCTCTTAATGACCACTAAACAATGATTGTATTTCATATCAAAAAATGCTGCATTGTACTGTAGAGAACTCATAATCTGGTCAAGATTCTCCTTAAAATACTGACCTCGAAATTCATCGTCCCCCTGACGAAACGAAGTAATTTTTTCCAAAAACGGTTGTCCTATCTGTTCAAACCTAGATTTCTCTTCATCGTCGCTTTCGCTCAGCATTAAATATCGGATGACAATAGCTGGGAAAGATACATCATCATCAACCTTGTTCAACGTTTCTGTTAACAAGTTCTTTAGCAGATCCTCACCAACTTGAGGAAGACATGTCATCAGATAGCGACGAACGTCACCCGCATTACCATCAGCAACTTTATCAAGGATAAGGCACAAAAGTGCACAATATTCAGGTTTCATGACAACAGGAAGCCAATCATAATTTTTAAGTACACGACGAAGACCATGGCGACTTGTAAGATCCACGCTCGCGATGTAAGGTTTTACGATATCATATACTCGCGGATCAGCTGCCTCACCAAGAATTCTGTAATAAGGTAATGCGGCACGTAAGGCTGCCAGTGGCCTGATCGTTACTGCTGTTGAAAAAATGTCCGCCACACAAGTCGTGCGCTGCGCTAACACCAGTGCTAAGCGCACCGTTCGCTTAACACGCTCTTGCAACAACGTTTGAATTAGTTGCGTTACTTCTGACGGACGACAGCGGATTGCTCGCCAAGCAACTGCCTTCATACCAATTTTGCGCCACCCAAGAGCTAACGCGTCCGGAGCTGGCCGAGCACGATGTATGTTAGCTCTTAGAGCTGCAGCCAACTTGTGATGTTCTTTGCCTGCCAGATCTTGCTCCTGTATTATCGACTCCATATTTTTACCAGCAAGTGTAGCTAGCGGTCGTGCCAATTTAACATTAGGTCTCTCTACTATTTCATGTAGTAAGATACTACTCATCTGTTCAGCGATACCATTCGGCTCGTTAAAATAAACAGCTAGCTTCAAGAAAAACCGGTTACCACGCGTTTCTCCGTCAGTTAATAACTTGACAAGCCACTCAGACTTTAGAGCCCTGGGGTCATGTCGCAAGACATTTAATAGTGCAGCGTCATCGCGCTTGAACGCCAAGTTTTGGTGAAATAACTCACGACGACCAACACGGGCCTTGTATAAACGCTGCAACAGCGATGTGGCTACTTCAGAATCACGATCTGCCAGTGTTTTAATGTGTGCTACTACTGAGTTAAATGGAATACGATACTTTTCAAACACATCAAGCAAACGATCAAGATAGCTCGCTGATACCTCTGATTTTGCATCACTCGCAGCTGACGTTAAAATATTCTGCAAACCATCAGCAATCGTTGCACGTTCTGCTGTATTAAGCTTGTACTCTTCAAGTGTAGAAAAGTCTTCAAGAAAAGCAGAACGCACTGCCCCCACACAGTCTCCAGTAGTTAGAAGCTGACGGACTACTACTGCGTGAAGTCCTTCGCGGCACTGGGCTTCAGATCGTGTACCGTCGAGGCCGAGTCCTTGACCATACTCCAACATTGAGTCCCACACATCCTGCGGTAATCGCCAAACGTTTGCTCGCTTTACAAGGCTACGGACAATAGTAGCACGCTCGTGTACAGGCTCATTTCGAAATCGCAATGCAAATTGAAGCATTTCGCGCACACAGTCGGGACGCCCGCCACTTTTACTAACTAACACTAGCAGCATGTCACGACGTCTATCAGCCGAACTGACTGCATTTATGCGCCCACGCAACTCATGTAGAGTTCCGTTAAAACCTACGAACCTAAACTCATCGAATAGTTTTTCAAGTTCTGATTTTGTTCTATGATTTACGTCATCACTTTCCATTGAGTCACACATTACTACGGAGTGGTCACAACACTTCATTACCATCGACATCCGTTCGTATCCTATATACCAGTTCGTTTCGATTGGTTCATAATCTTGATCATCGAATACATGCGACTCGGTCGTACCCAAGTCCTTGACTACAGGTGATTCTGGAAGTGCGTACGGCCATTCAGCCACACGTTGGCCAACATCTTTCTTAACAAATACTCGTTTCTTAAAAGCAGCTCTAGTTTGAGGGTCCATGCGTTTTACAAGTGGTTCCACATTTGCATAGGAAAACCACCAACTTAGATATTCGGCTCGCGCCAGTTTGAGAACCTGCTCTTGGCACTCTTCCACGCTGAGGCATTGCGCCACAGTAGGCATGTGCAAAAGATGAGCAATGTACAGTTCTGACTTTGCCATAAATCTGTTTTTATTGTAACGCAAGATGTGTTTAGTAGCCGCCGGACTGAGCTTGCTCTGTGTCGTTAAATTGTGATATTTTTCTGTTATGTCTAGAAATACCTCAGGATCTGACTTCAACAAGAATATAATACTTTTGTAGAACACCTGTTCGTCTTTAAGATACCGCTTAACTAATTCGTTATCTGATGAAAACGAATCATAGTAAATTTTTACTAGTTTAGGGCACTTCTCTCCAAGCACTTTCAGGTAATGGGGGTTTATCTGAGTTAATACCTTAGGAAACTCCTTCAGAAGAAATTCATTATCACAATGACGTAAAAATTTTACAGCGAAATCAAATTTTATGTTTTTGTAATACTCATAAAATTCTTGGCACGCAACAGGATCACTTAGATTGATATACAGCCAGTGTTTAAATTTGGAAATGGCCGGCAAGACCATCTGTGGGTAAAGCATATCTTCTAAATAATTAGGATTTACTATATCATGTCGTTCTAGGAGCCATTTACATTTTAAGGCTCTGCTGACATACAACATGTCGTCATCTTTTAGACTTTTGACAATATAATCAACATTCTTTAGTTTAATAGCGATATCTATCTTAATGAGTCGATCAACCGCTGTTTGTTCAGTGAGACCTTCGATATCTTTAGCAGACACCTGACCAGCAGTAGCCGCCTGATTCACTTGTAAGTTGAGGCGACGATGTCTTTCTCCTAGGCTGTCGCCCGGTAAAGTCGTAGGTGGAATCAGTGCCATCTGTTGGCAAACAAGAAAACGTTAACTATCACACCATGAACGTAAATCATAACATATTTATTTACCAAAAAATTTACTATGTTAATGCTTATGTCTTATGTATACCTATTATGTCTACATAGAGCATCACTCTGCAAAAGATAATGAACAATAAATCCTTTTAAATTTTTTTAACCAACTTCAAACAATACTGATAAAGAGCACAAAAAATAAAAAAATAATTACAAATCTAATTAAAAAAAACTATAATAAGTAGCTTCAATATAATAGGTAACATTATAATAGCAATAATCCCTTCAAGTCTGTTTGAAGTCGGTGCTTCACGTTATGTTCATGTGACATAAGTTGAGTTCCTTGATTTCGATCCATTTATTTGTGGTGGAGAAAGAATTATTTAATTTCATTAATATGAATTTCTGATAGCTGAGGTTCCAATGGTGTGTAATGTAATGCATTTTTTTCTAAATACTACTCCTCTCCGCATGTTGAAACTTTGCGTGTGCTGATAATAATGTAACCTTTCTGTAAAAAAATATCAACCCCCAACCCGTCGGGCTACAATGCGAAGTTGAGCCAGTACAGTACTGGTACATTAATATACAGTATATTAATATTTATACATATTTAAAAATGAGATAGTATCATGAAAGTAAATTATTTTACTTAAACTTACATAAAAAAGTCTCTAGGCAATTTGTATACATAACTGTATACAAACCTGTAGTTTTACAGTATATCTAGCAGCACGCCGTGCAGCGAAATAGGCGGCAATAATTCGAATGCAAATAATATTCAAAATAGTACACCCTGAGGATTATGTTATCATCATTATTTATTTGAAAATGAGATGGTAAAATGAAAGTAAATTATTCACTTAAACTTACAAAAAAGAGTCTAAAAGACAACTTGGATACATAACTGATGCTTCATAGAATATGCAATAATAATTATTCTAAGAAAAACTGTTTAATTAATTTATTAGTCATGCATATTCCATTCAATAAACATTTTTTTAATTATTTAATTTATTTATTTATTTACAAAATTTGTTCGGTTACAAAAATGAAAATTATGGGTAAAATTTCAAATGGTAGAGTCATCACTGGCCCGCCATTGCATGTTTAGATGTTTGTCTTTGTCTAATCCTAGCGACGGTATTGTTCTTGCGACGCGTGTAAGTGAGACATATGTATATTTACTTTCAAATGTCTAATGGTTTCAAAGCTACGTTGTCATAGTTCAATCTGGTTACACTTTTTTCGACGTGTGACAAGTGGCAATGAGGTTTGCTTCTCTAGTTGTTTAACTCAATGTATAAAGCGCGATGCTCTATTTAGATATTTATCTAAATAATCTGAGGATTTACATAAATTAAAAATAAATCAGTTATATACGTTTTCTTAAAATACATTTTGATCTTTTTTTTTTTAAATAGACTGGAGTTTCTTCTATGACATCACTGCTCGGAACACAGGATACATTATGATCAATTACTTACTTCCACATCTAACGATACGTAAAACTACGAAGGAAATCGTCTGTTATTGAACTATTTTTTCCTACCTTAGCTCGTCGCAATGTACTTTGGTTTAGGATAGTAACAATTCAATTCAGATTGCACTTTAACTAGCATCTCACTGTACGTGTTCCACCCACAGCGCCCTCAACCGACGCCGGTGACTCAATAACACAAATCTTGATGTGGCGTTTTCGGATGTTGTTATGTACAAATACAAAAATGAATAGATCTGTCTCATATCTCCAAAATAATAATATGTACCTACTATTTAAGATTTGTATCTTATTTCGATTTAAATCGATTAAAACATTTAAACGATTTAAAAGTTTTTTTTGATACAGACAAGAAATAACGGTTTGTATGTTGTATGTGTAACTTGGATTAACAGCAATTTAAGCAAGGAGTATTTATTTCACTGATTCTCACAGTCTGGGATTTAAAGAAATTTAGGCAAGGAGTCCATTTTACGTATTCTTATAGAAGTAACCGAGGAATACCATAAATATGAATCAAATATAATATGCCCTTGTTATAACTAAACCTCAAATATCGCAAATTATTAAGCAAGAATCTTAGCATTTACCTAGATAGTCTGTGAATACACTGTTTTATAATTCTATAATCTTTTTTTATTTTTTAATTATTATTTCATTATAATGTTTGTTTAACTTTTTATTGTTTTTTTAAACTTTTTCGATTGCTTTTATTCAAGAACTATTTTGTTTATTTATCTATTTTATTTATTTATTTAAAACGTTTACAGTGTCTTTACAGGATCCTTATCCTTATCTTATATAGATCTCAGCAATCAGTCCCGTAGCCTAGAAAAAGACAGAGACGCTGGGGTCCAAGTGGATGGCTGTAACCAATCTCAGAAGGTGGTGGATAGCTCTCACGTACAGAATCGATATCGTAAATAATCGATATCAGAAGGTAGATTGCATACTGTTGCGTCACAATGAAATACACATATTAATAATTTTCAATGTTATAATAATTTTAGATAAAATTTTATTATTATTCCAACTATCTTAGTTACCAACAAAAACCGTAACTGTAAATCGATTTTAAAATGTCTTTGTACTAACTAAATCTTAAAATATTGCTGATATCTAAGCAAAAATCTCAGCATTTGTAAAAAACAGAACCTCCTTATCCTCTTTTTTCAGACAAAGCTCATTGATTTCCTGCTTTACAGCACCTTCTAAGTTATACTGACATGTTTGTAAAACATGGACTGCCAATCGGGCCTCACTTCCAACACTTTCTGATAGCATGCCCTTCGTAAGTGCTGCTATGAACTTGCCCTTGGAAGTGCCGGATAGAAAGTAATTACCCAGATAGTCTGTAAATGCACTGTTGTATAATTCTATTACCGAGTCGAAGTATTTGGACTTTAGTAAGGCCATTTCCTTCACAATGTAACGTCCAAACGTAAAACCAACGATGTCTACACCTTCGGATAGTTTCTTCGCAGGATCCGCGAATATTTCAGGTTTTTGTTTCATACTCTGCCGAATTGCTTTATAGTATAACATAGTGGCGTGTATTTTGGCATATTCTTCAAAATGTGTCTCCTTGGTCAACACATTCGACAACCAAGCTAAAACCCTCTCAATGACCACTAAACAATGATTGGATTTCATATCAAAGAACGCTGCATTGTACTGGAGAGAGCTCATAATCTGGTCAAGATTCTCATTAAAGAACTGACTTCGTAAATCGTCGTCGCCCTGACGAAACGCAGTAATTTTTTTCAGAAACGGTTGTCCTATCTGTTCATATCTAGATTTCTCTTCTTCGTCGCTTTTACTCAGCATTAAATATCGGATAACAATAGCTGGGAAAGATTCAGGATCACTCGCGTCAACCTTTGTTAACGTTACCGTTAACACGTTCTTGAGGAGATCCTCACTAACTTGAGGAAGACATGTCATCAGATAGCGACGAACGTCACCCGCATTACCATCAGCAACTTTATCAAGGATAAGGCACAAAACTGCACAATATTCAGGTTTAATGGCAACAGGAAGCCAATTATAATTTTTAAGTACACGACGGAGACCTTGGCGAGTTGTTAGGTCAACACTCGCGATGTAAGGTTTTACGATATCATATACTCGCGGATCAGCTGCCTCACCAAGAATTCTGTAATATGGTAACGCAGCACGTAAGGCTGCCAGCGGCCTGATCGTTACTGCTGTTGCAAAAATGTCCGCCACACAAGTCGTGCGCTGCGCTAACACCAGTGCTAAGCGCACCGTTCGCTTAACACGCTGTTGCAACAACGTTTGAATTAGTTGCGTTACTTCTGACGGACGACAGCGGATTGCTCGCCAAGCTACTGCCTTCATACCAGCCTTGCGCCACCCAAGAGTTAACGCATTCGGAGCTGGCCGAGCACGATGTATGTTAGCTCTTAGAGCTGCAGCCAACTTGTGATGTTCTTTGCCTGCCAGATCTTGCTCCTGTATTATCGACTCCATATTTTTACCAGCAAGTGTCGCTAGCGGTCGTGCCAATTTAACATTAGGTCTCTCTACTATTTCATGTAGTAAGATACTACTCATCTGTTCAGCGACACCATTCGATTCGTTAAAATAAACAGCTAGCTTCAAGAAAAACCGGTTACCACGCGTTTCTCCGTCAGTTAATAACTTGACAAGCCACTCAGACTTTAGAGCCCTGGGGTCATGTCGCAAGACATTTAATAGTGCAGCGTCATCGCGCTTGAACGCCAAGTTATGGTGAAATAACTCACGACGACCAACACGGGCCTTGTATAGACGCTGCAACAGCGATCTGGCTACTTCAGAATCACGATCTGCAAGTGTTTTGATGTCTGCTACTACCGAGTTAAATGGAATACGATACTTCTCAAACACATAAAGTAAACGATCAAGATAGCTCGCTGATACCTCCGGTTTTGCATCTCTAGCAGCTGACGTCAAAATATGCTGCAAACCAGCAGCAATCGTTGAACGTTCTGCTGTAGTAAGCTTGTACTCTTCAAGTGTAGAAAAGTCTCTAAGAAAAGCAGTACGCACTGCTCCCACACAGTCTCTAGTAGTCAGAAGCTGACGGAGTACTACTGCGTGAAGTCCTTCGCGGCACTGAGCTTCAGATCGTGTACCATCGAGGCCGAGTCCTTGACCATACTCCAACATTGAGTCCCACACATCTTGCGGTAATCGCCAAGCGCTTGCTCGTTTTACAAGGCTACGTACAATAGTAGCACGCTGGTGTACAGGCTCATTCCGAAATCGCAATGCCAGTTCCATTATTAAGCGCACACATTCTGGGCGTCCGCCACTTTTGCTAACTAACACTAGCAGTATATCACGACGCCTATCAGCTGAACTGACCGCATTTATTCGTCCACGTAACTCATGTAGTGTTCCATTAAAACCTACGATCCTAAACTCATCAAATAGCTTCTGAAGTTCTGACTTTACTCTTATGCATTCACTTTGCAAGCAGTCTGCCTCCATATAGGAGCAATACTTTCTTTTCTTTAACATTCGCCTAAACCCAAAATTATTACCCAATTGTATTGGCTCATAGTCTTGATCATGGAATACATGCGAGTCAATAGTGCTCGAGTCATTGACTACTGGTAACGTTGGAAGTGCGTATGGCCATTCGGCCACAGGTTCTCCAATATCCTTTTCAACGAATACTCTTTTCTTAAAAGCAGCTCTACTGTCCCGGCCGACGCGTTTTATTAGGGGCTCAACATTTGCGTAAGAAAACCACCAACTTAAATATTCGGCTCGTGCCAACTTGATCACCTGCTCTTGGCACTCCTCCACGCTGAGGCATTGCGCCACAGTAGGCATGTGCAAAAGATGAGCAATGTACAGTTCTGACTTTGCCATAAATCTGTCTTTATGGTAACGCAAGATGTGTTTAGTAGCCGCCGGACTAAGCTTGCTCTGTGTCGTTAAATTGTGATATTTTTCTGTTATATCTAGAAACACCTCAGGATCTGACTTCAACAAGAATATAATACTTTTGTAGAACACCTGTTCGTCTTTAAGATACCTCTTAACTAATTCGTTATCTGATGAAAACGAATCATAGTAAATTTTGACTAGTTTAGAGCACTTCTCTCCAAGCACTTTCAGGTAATGGGGATTTATCTGAGTTAATACCTTAGGAAACTCCTTTAGAAGAAATTCATTATCACAATGACGTAAAAATTTAACAGCGAAATCAAATTTTATATTTTTGTAATACTCATAAAATTCTTGGCACGCAACAGAATCACTTAGATTGATATACAGCCAGTGTTTAAATTTGGAAATGGCTGGCAAGACCATCTGTGGGTAAAGTACATCTTCTAAATAATTAGGATTTACTATATCACGTCGCTCTAGGAGCCATTTACATTTTAAGGCTCTGCTGACATACAACATGTCGTCATCTTTTAGACTTTTGACAATATAATCAATATTCTTTAGTTTAATAGCGATATCTATCTTAATGAGTCGATTAACCGCTGTTTGTTCAGTGAGACCTTCGATATCTTGAGCAGACACCTGACCAGCAGTAGCCGCCTGATTTACTTGTAAGTTGAGGCGACGATGTCTTTCTCCTAGGCTGTCGCCTGATAAAGTCGTAGGTAGAATCAGTGCCATCTGTTGGCAAACAAGAAAACGTCAATCATCACACCATGAATGTAAATCACAACATATTTGTTATAAATTCTTGCAAACTTACTAAAGGGAAATTAAATTAATTAAATTATTATTATTTTGTATTAAGTGATTTAATATATGTGATCAAATTAATTTGTTAGATACTGAGTAGGTAGAGTAAATATTTTTTCAGCCCTATTTTCAAAAAAAAATGTTTTTTTAGGAGCATCTAACTAGCTTAATTTTCCTGTGCTTTACAAAAAAAGTTTGAAATAATTATTGCCATGCCTTCCGACGATCTTAACTTATTATCTTTAGTGCTTAAAATAAATAAATTTACAATTATATTTACATTGAATTAATTAACAATAAATTTCCACATTATATAAATTTTAGATTGTTCATTGCGGTCCATTTTTGTCTTTTGAACGATCACGTGTTACTTAAAAATCAAAAAGTGCATCAAAATAATTTTCTAAGAAACAATGCTTCGTAAGGTACTAAATATCAAACAAAGTTACAAACCCCGTACGTAATGTTTAGGTATATATCTGTATACAAACACACTACACTAACTAAAATTACCGTAGGTATATTGTAGATCTACATTAATTTATGGTATTGGTATTGGTTGTGGGCTTTATGCGTTAATTTATGTATGTATCTGTCCTCTATTTCTTAAATTAGAACGTTCGACGTTTTCTCCATTTGCAATACATTAAATAGTTACCTACCTCTTTAAATAGACACTGTATACTAAGACTATGTCTTACATTGGCTGACACTAAAGCAGTTTTGTTTAGAATAGTATGAAATGAAATCTCTCACTGCACGGTTTTACGAAATGTGTACTCACACTGCGATGCCGCGAATAGCCGGTGACTCACTCATGTATATGAAGGCAGAATTAAATCTTACAACTTGACCTTGATGTAGCATTTTCGAATGTAGCTACGGACAAATAAATGTGCGTTTAAGTATAATTCAGTCTATCGTTTATATTATCATATCTTATTTCGATTAAAACCTATTACACAAATGTTGTGTTATATTGATATTTAATCAACACTGGTGGACAAAAAAATTAGGTTACTTCTAATTTTATGATTTATTCATTAATTACGGTTTGTTTAAACATTAAAATAAATGATACGTTTTTGAACTTTTCTTTGCAATCTTAGTTGAGAGTTTATTTATAAAATTATCAAGTGTAAATGTGTTGACCCACACTTTTATTCTTTTATGTTAATGTCCTGTCGCTGGGACGCTATTTAAAACTATCGTTAAATTGGTATTACTGATTTATCTTCTGTGCCTCCCACTTCCTTTTTACTAATAAAAATGGATCCACGCAAAGCAAAAGTTGTTCAAATCGTAACGTTGTTACGAGCCAGCGTAATGTCGCTTGACAATATGAAGTTAGTTGATCAACGGTTCAGTATGTTTACAAAGGTATCTGGAGACCGCTGGTTATATCAGAAGACTTGGATCAGACCGAAGAAGAACGACATCTGAACGGGATGATCGATTTATAGTGTCAGCAAGCCTCAGAAATCGTCATTGATCTGGAGTAGAATTGCAGCACCTTGCCAGAGATGTCCGAGGTGTTGATGTAAGTGATAGGAGAATAAGAAGACGCCTTAAAGAACGTAGTTTTAAACTTACCGCAGTTCATAAGGTAGTAACGTGAAATTTTGCTCTTAAACACCGTGACTGGACATTGGCACAATGGGAGCAAGTACTCTACTAATGAGTCCCGTATGTGTGTGTGTGCTGATGGTCGTAAAAGAGTATATCGTAGACCGGGAGAACGATGTGCACAATGTGCCATATCTAAGCTTTGGAGGTGGTTCAGTTTTGTTCTGGGGAGGTAAAAGCTCAGAAGCCTATACAGAGCTAGTTATGATAGAAATAGGAACTGTGACTGCTGGATAGTACATCAATAACATTCTTGAAGAGCATGAAGTGCCATACTCAGGATTTATCGGTCAAGAATTTAAAGTAATGCACGAGAACGCGCGCCCAATCTGCGATGTGCGTGAGAGATTACTTGCGAGAAGTGGGAATATAAGTTCTGGACTGGCCAGCACGAAGTCCAGACCTTAACCCAATAGAGCATTTATGGGACGAGCTAAAACGGCGAGTAAGACAGCGAGAACCAGCTCCGTCGAACATGCAACAGCTGAAAGCGGCTTTATTGGAGGAATGGGCACATACACCAATCTACCATTAAAAATTTGAAACAATCCATGAATGAAAGGGCGGTATGTGTTATCAAAGCCAGAGGCAGCAATACCTGTAAAGGTAAAGAAAGATGACATCAGCGAAACCATTCTAAATTAGTCTGAGCTTGTTGTAAATTTTTATTCATTTTGATATTTCTTGTTTAATACTAAAAAAGTAAAGTTGGTTAATTTATAAATGTGTTATTTCAATCAAGAATTTACACACAATCAAAAAAATAAATATTTAAAAAGTCTTTATTTTGAAACACAGTCATGACTACATGTTGGGTAGGTGGCCTTATTTTCCACCAGTTTATATCAATGTTCAATCTGTCTTTATTAGTAACGAAGATACGAAACAACATTTTTATAGCAGGCTTCTCGTCTGCAACAGAATATGAATTATAGCTACTCTTATAAATGATATTTATAACTTATTACCACAATAGGCAAGTAACATTTCATACAGTTAAATAAACATAAGAAAATGTAAGTTCAATTACTGATCGGTCAGAATTATCTATATCAAATGTACGTTACGTTGGACTGAAAAGTTTGCCTTATAAACTTGTTCTTTTTTTAATTACTTTTGAGTTATATATGTTTTTTTTTTGTCATTAAGGGCGAACGAGCATACGGATCGCTTGATGTTAAGTGACAAAGTACCACGTGCGTTGCCAGTTTGCCACCCTTTGTGGACCTCTCCAGAGTAAGGGGGAGGTGTGGGGGCTGCCGCTAACGTCATTCACTCGGTGAAAAGCAAGGAACAAAATTGCTTAACATCGGTTGCCTGTGAGGCAGTGGCATCACTCCGTTCGAGCCGGCCCATTGCTCCGAAACATATACTTAGATGTGAAATGCCTGTTTTTAGGGACTGTTTTATTCTTAACGCCCTTGCGGCACGAACCGTTTTTCTTGCAGGTCTTTACCTATGGTACTCTAGAGAAATTATGCAACTGGGTCGCCAGTTACCTTGCAGACAGAAGCATTAAGATCATTGTCGACGATGTATGTCATAACTCTGAGCTTATCAATTCTGGTGTACCACAAGGCTATTTCAATCATGCAAATTTCTCATAAATTATATTTTGTAAATCTGCAACATTCCTCTCCGCTCTGGCTGGGTCCATATTTCTTCAAAAAGACTCCGTTCGGTATCACATCAACAGCCTTTAATAGTCCACTGCTGTACATAGGCCTCTCCTTAGAAAGAAGGTTTTGGCCTACTATACCACCGTTTGTTTTGCCGTTTTGTTTGTTTGTTTGTTTTTGCCGTTCGGTATACCACCTTGCTTTGAGAACACTTGTCTAACTGCCACAGCCAGCAGTAGTTTTCTTAGTGTAGACATTTAAACGGTCATTTAAAGAACGAATAGTGCTGAACAAACCGAGACCACCATCTGCAACTTTATAATGCATGGAATACATTTCTCCTCTCTTTGCAGCGATATCCCAGTACCAGCTTCTCCCTCTGGACTCTCTGAAGAGTGACGCGAATCGTTGTTTGCCATAATATTTCAGATCGGCTTGACCCCTTGACGTTGCATAGAGATGTAGCTTCATTCTGCATTCTCTATCATATTATGAGGAGTGCTCTGAGAAATTGTTTGAATATATCTGGTACAGCCTTCTACCATCGTTCAACGAGACAAAAACTCTATGACCATTACTTGGATGCTAGGAATTCATCCACTGTATACTTTAGCTTACATAACCAATCCATTTTTATTTATAGTTAACGTAGTGGTAGCGATCACCTCGCTGCTTCCTACTGCGCTGTGTGTTGTGGGATCGATCACCACATGGGACCGCACTTTATGTGATACACAAATTGTTGTTCTGAGTCTGGGTTTTCTTTGTGTCCGTTTCATGTGTGGTTGTTAAGTCCCCCGCAACATAGGGAATCTTTCTAATGCAGTGTCTTTAAAAAAAATAATTACAAAAGAATTTTTCACAGCACAATAATAAAAACATTTAGAATTAAATTAAGACCAATACATAAGCGTGTAGCCAGAGTACCTATGTGTAGAGATTGTGTTCATGCGTGTGGATGAGCGTGTGTGTGTGTTTGTGCGCGTGTTTGTTTGTGTGCGTGTGTGTGTGTACATTTGTGTATGTGTGTTTCTGCTTTGCCTCTACTGTCCTTGATCAGGAAAAATTAGTTCAGTTTCATCATTCAAAAAAGAAAAGAAAAGAAAAAGATTCAACAGCCAGCCAGTTTATTAACGTCTATATGTTATATGTACCTGTGGAACAAAATTTTCACCGTGTATTTCCGTACCGATATACCCTTCAAGCTTTCAAGAAAAGAGCATACCCATACCTCATAGGTTGGCAACACACGTTTGTCTCTTTAGTTGCAGGTGTCTATGGGCGACGGTCACTTACCATGAGGTAATCTGTTCTACTCATTCGCCCTTTATAAAATAAATAAAAAACCCAAAATCGTGACTTAAAATTTTACGGCGTTTTTATCGAAATTCATATTTAATTGAGTTACCTAATTTATATGTATCTGCTAGTTTTAATAGTATGCAATTTACACAAGATTATTATGAAAATCTATTCACAGTGCTATTCAACAAGACATTTCATGTTCTAATAGACGTTCAATAATAAATTAGTCAAAAATTTCAGCACATGCAAACATCTGTACTTCTTTATTTTTATTTTCTTGAATGAGCTTTTTGATTTCTACATAATTTGATTCCTCCGAATCACATAGACACATATTTAAAACGTGAACTCCCAAACGAGCCGCGCTTCCCTCGCTCTTTGACAGCATTCCCTTTATAACAGCCGATATAAGCTTACGTTTCGAATTGCTACCAGTCAAATACTCATCCAAAAAATCTGTAAACGCGTATCGGTATAATTCAATGACTGAGTCGAAGTATTTAGACTTCAGTTCGGCCACTTCCTTCACTATATAACGTCCAAACGTAAAACCCACGATGTCCACACCTTCGGACAGTTTCCTTGCAGGATCTGCGAATATATCTGGCTTCTGTTTAATGCACTGTCGAATAGCTTTGTAGTACAATATCGATGCATGGATTTTGACATATTTTTCAAAATGGTTTTCTTTGGATAGAAACGATATCCAAGTTAAAACTTTCTCAATTACTTCTGAGCAACATTTATATTTTATGTCGAAGAATGCATAATTGTACACGAGTGCGGTTAATATCTGTTTAATATTTTTTTCAATGAAACGATGTCGCAATACATCATCTCCACTACGGCATCTATATACTCGTATTTCATCTAAAAATGTTTTTCCTACTTCTTTAAATCTTGTGTTCAATTCATTCTCACTTTTGCTCAACATTAAGTATCTAATGACAATGGCAGGATAGGATTCAGAAATTTCCAAGTTAAAGTTTTTTAATACTCGAAGTAAAATTGTTTTAAGCAGAATATCATTAATGGCAGGAAGGCGTTTCATCAGAACCCGGAGGATTTCAATTCTATCACGGCTACTGTGCAGAGCGAGATACAAATATGTGCAATATTCTGGTTTTATGGCGTTTGGAACCCAATTAACTTTCTTAAGTTTATAACTGAGACCCTTTCGCTTTGTTAAGTCCACATCGATCATGAATGTCTTCACGATGTCCCAGATGCACGGATTGCCTGCTTCACCTAAACACCTATAATATATTAACGCGGCACGTAAAACAGCTAGAGGTCTAATTTCTGCTGCTAAAGAAAAAATATCGGCTACGTAATCTGTATGTTGTGCTAGTACTAAAGCTAATCGGACATAATGCCTTTCACGCTCTTTTAACATCTTATATATTATTTGCTTCAATTGCACTGATCGAGAGCGTACTGCATGCCAAGCTACTGCCTTCATACCAGACTTACGCCAACCTAAAGTTAAGACATCTGGAGCTGGTCGAGCATAATGCATGTTAGCTCTAAGTGCTGCAGCTAATTTGAAACGTGAGCTTCCCGCGAGATCTTGCTCATTCAATAATGATAGTACGTCTCTACCTGCAAGTAATGCAAGCGGACGTGCTAGTGTCACGTCAGGTTCTACGGTAATTTTATTGTACAGTGCATGTCGAAATTGGTCTGCTATACCATTCGTCTCATTAAAATAGACAGACAGTTTCGTTAAAAACTGATTAGCATGCGATCCATCGACTAATAAGTTGATGAGCCTCTCTGGCTTAAGAGCGTACGGGTCATGTCGTATTGCATTTACATACGCAGCATCATCGTGTCTTATCTCAAGGTACTGACGGATAAGCTCACGACGACCAACACGAGCATCATATAGACGCATCAGTAATGAACAAGCTACTTCCCAATCACGATACGCCAGTTCCGCAACAGCAGATACAACTGCTTTAAAAGGAAGCTGGTATCTTTCAAGCATGTCAAGCAGATTATTGAGGTGGCGTGCAGCCTCTATAGGTTTGGCATCAGAAGCAGCTGAGAGTAAAATATGTTGTAAACCAAGAGCTACTTCTAACCGCTCGTTTGCAGTAAGCTTGTATTCCTCTAGTGTGGAGAAATCATCAAGAAAGGCGGAACGTACTGCCGATTCGCATTCACCGGCAGTTAGAAGTTGACGAAGCACTACGGCATGTAGCCCTTCACGACATTGAGCCTCGGATGGCGTTCCGTCCAAACCAAGTCCGCTCGCATATTCCAGCATCATGTTCCAAACATCATTAGGGAGGCACCAAGCTCTTGCACGCTTCACTAGACTTCGGACAATAGCAGCACGTTCATGAACAGGCTCATTTCGTAGCCTCAATGCTAAGCGCAGTAGTGACTCTACGTTCTTCGCGTGACCGCCGGTCTTGCTTACCAACACTAGCAACATATCTCGACGCCTATCTGCCGAAGTAGCCGCTCCTAGTCGCCCTTTTAGTTCATAGAGCGTCCCATCGAACCCTACAAACCTAAACTCGTCGAATAATTTCTGCAAGTCCGATTTTGACGAGCAATCACTTATCACAACGTATTCCGAAGCCAAACCTTTTTTTTTCTTTACAATTCTTTTCATCATTTTGCGATTTCGTGATAATTGTATTGGCTCAAAATCCAGGTCGTCAAATACGTGTAGGTTGTCGCAATTCGCATCATCAATAACTGGTGAGCTAGGAAGGCTGTACGGCCACTCATTTACGCGTTCGCCAACATCCTTCTCAACAAACACTCGCTTCTTGAAAGCCGCTCTGCTGTTGCGGTTGATGCGCTTCACCAGAGGCTCCACATTTGCATACGAAAACCACCAGCTTAAGTAATCTGCACGAGCCAGTTTCATCAATAGCTCTTGGCATTCTTCGACAGTAAGCTGTTGCGCCACGGTAGGTATGTGTAGAAGATGTACAACGTACAGTTCAGACTTTGCCATAAATCTGTTCTTAAGAAAACGTAATACATATTTGGTTGCCAATGGAGTTAGCCTATTAAATGATGTTAAATTGTGATATTTTTCCACTATATTTAGATATATATCAGGGTCGGACTTCAACAAACATTTAATACTGTTATAAAATGCTGCTTCATGTTCTAGATAGACTTTTACTAACTCATTATCTGTTACTAATGATTCAAAGTATATTTTGACTAGTTTAGGATATTTTTCTCCGAGGACTTTCAGATCGTGAGGGTTTATCTGGATCAATATCTTAGGAAACTCGTTCAGTAGGAATTCAATATTACAATGACGTAGGAACTTTACAGCGAAATAAAAATTTCTACTTTTGTAATATAGATAAAATTCTTCGCTTGTTAAAGGATCAGTTAAGTTGATATATAACCAGTGTTTCATTTTGGTGATAGCTGGCATCACCATTTGTGGGAAAAGTACATCTTCTAAATAATGGGGATTGATAAGATCACGTCGCTTTACAAGCCATTTACATTTCAACGCTCTGCTGACATACAATAAATCGTCATCTCTTAGATTTTTGAGAATATATTCAACATTCTTCACTCTATTTGCGACGTCTATTTTAAAAAGCCGATCAACTGCCGTCTGTTCACTTAGAGCTTCGATGTCTTGAAAACAATCCTGGCCGGCAGCGATGGCCAGATTTACTTGGGAATTTAAGTAGCGATGCCGTTGGCCCAAATTGTCGCCTAATAATTTTAGAGGCAAGGTCACCATCGTCTGTTAAAGAACAAACCAAATAATAAAATAATCTGTAATACCGAAATAAACCAGTTTCATGAAGTCATGACGAATCAATGTTATTTAGGTAACTATTATTTCTGGAAATCTACTCTACGCCCAATCTAATAATAAAATAGATTTGTGACCTACATAATGTGAAATTTTCAGATTATAGGTCTAGATCTAGGATCTAGAAATTTTAGACAAAAAAATTAATAAAAATTACGGAATGATGTAAATATATATTTAAATTTAGAATTTTTACTATACCATCCCGAAAATAAAATTATTTTCTAACACATTAAAAATCTTATCTGTGTAGAGATCTATTTACTTAGCTATTAATTTACTTGCATCCTCACCTTAGTTTCAGTTGCCTTGCTTTGTGCGTATATTTACAATATACGATATTGTTACAAAATAGAAGTAAACGTAGAGGAATTAAATCATCAATTGAAACACTGCGGAACTAGACCGTACCTAGTGTGGCCATCTCTTAAAAACTTCAAGTAGCACTATAAACAAAAAAACATCAAATGCAGCGGAAGGAACAGTTTATTTTCATAAAATAGACACATATATTCATATTTTCATAAAATACGAATTATACAGGAACATTCTTGTATTTTATTTTTTCTAACTAAACCGTGAATTGCCAATGTCTTGACACTTTAAAGTTGTAATTATTAAACAGATCTTGGCAATCAATTGTAACGGTTACTACCTACCCCTAACTCGCAGGCAAAGTGAAACTCAGTGAAAGTTTTAGGCATGGGACAAAATCACAGCGAACTGTGAAAGACCAGTGATTTATCATTCGATTTTTTCGTACGTGTTTTAGGGTTATTACTTACTCACGCGTTGTTTCCAATAAGCTGTTTTCAGACGATGCATAAAGACCCTATTTCGCCTTTTAACAGTAAATCTAGTGATTATTTTTTTATATATATAGCTACCATTCCCTACATAAAAATTAAAAAATAATAGATTTACTGTTAAAATTAAATAGTGTCTAACCTACCTGTATACCTAACAACCCTACGTACAAAAAAATCGGTCTTTCACAGTTCACTGTAATCTTGTCCCAAGTCTAGAAAGTTGGTAGGCTAAATACTACATATTTGGGCGTCTTGGAACTGGTCAGATGATGGACCCAAGAAGTGAATAGGAAAAATAGCTAAAATATGTAAATAAATTATAAAAATAATGGATGAAAATATGTTGACATTATTCGTTATAGTTTTTCTGAAAATCAAGGAGTTTTATGTTAAAATCTGCAACGGTAATTAATGGAAAATATTGCCTTCTTTCAACACCTTTCGGTTTAGTTAGAGTTCCTTTCTTTTTTAAATAGTGCGTAAAAAAATCGTTCTTAAAAAGAAAGTTTTTGGAAAACAATTTCCTCTACGGCAAAAACTACGCTTTTTACTAAAGATTTAAATATATTCATCACTATTTTACGCCTGGCAATACTAGTTTTACTAACGTCATGTTGTTGTTATTATTAAACCTAAATAGGATTTTTTTATCTTAGTTCCTATACCTATCCTTTAAAGTCGGAAATATATATAATATAACTGCTAAAATTAATATATTATATAATAAATGATGGACCTCCAATCCGACATAACACTGCCAGCTTTAAAATTTTTGTCAAGTGAAACTGAGCACATTTGTAGGTTATGCTTCTCTTCAACACAGGACCAAGAAGTGTCTCTGGAGGACAGTATGAGGCTCCAGAGATCATTTCTAGACGAAACAGTTACTTACGCGGACATGTTCACTGATCTAAGTGTAAGTGCAAATTATATTTTTTGACTTTACTGGTCTGTGTTACATGGTACAATATTTAATAGTGAACATTGTATTTATTCTAATAGGAATTTCCACTTTCCCTTATTCAATACGTAAAAGATAGTTTTCTTGCATTATCAAAATAAATACTTTTGTACAGTAAGGTAAGGATTAACTGAAAACTGATTTCATGGATTGTAAAATAAATCATAATAAAGGACTTAAAGGTCAATAAAGTTCTTATTATTATTATTATTAACTGGTAATTAAATATTCATGATAATAGTTCACAACCTGTCCATGCTTTTTAATTCCATATTATTTTAAATCTAATTGCTTCCGAGTATGACCTGAGTATAATCAGAGTAGTCTTATACTAAGATTTTATTCTGACGAAGGTATTTTATACGATTTTTTTTGAAAATCAAAGCAATCACTAAAAGTAAATAATTTAACTGTTATGATATCACAAACTTTTTTATTAAAGTTACTGTATTTATGACCAACCAACCTGCTGCACTGCGGACGTGTGAACCACACTTTCATGATTCGGATGAGATAGATTGATTCTATTGCCCACTGAGTGAATTCTCAATAACAGCATTAAAAAATATTTCTTATAATAAGTAGAAAGCATAAAACTATCAAAAGCCCAAAATCGATCTAAGTGGTGTGCAATGTGCGAGGCCGATGTCCTACAGTGGACTGCGATAGGCTGATGATGATATCACTATCGCATCGGGCTTAACCTGTAATAATAGTTGTTTTTAATTGAAATAAATAAAAAAAAACTAGTATCTTTCCTGTTCCAAGATGGCTCCTAGAAACCTGTGAACGCCTCAGGAGGCTTCTTTCCTTTCTCTCTAGCCAGCCTTAAACACACATAAAGGATCATTTTTACCTGATATGGTTTTCTCATTCATAAAGATTTTATTCAATATCCACCCAACATTATTGTTTTGACAACTATTTCTACACTTTAATTTCTTTTAGGGCAGGCTGCCTATCTGACGTCAGCTCTCTTTGAGAATATATTAATTTTCAAATGAGACAAAGACAATTGGGGACAAAGAAAATAGATAGGGCGAGGGCACCTGGAAAAGTAATACCACAAAATTGCCGGAGCTACAAGTGGACCTCAACTATCCATCTAGTTCAGCAATATCTTCTTGTGTTACCTGAGTTATGTAGTATTAAAGATGATGTAGATATGATGTGTACAAGTTTTATTTGTTTATTTACAGGTACCCTCAGAATCTTCTCTTCCACAAGTTTTATGCATAAACTGTGCAACCATGACCATCAACTCATACCTGTTTAAAAAGCTATGCCATTATTCAAATCAACAGTGGCACTCCACATTATGTAGATTAAATGCATCCCTGAATTTAACAGAAAGTTTAGCACCTAATATCCAAACAGTATACCTAATGGTTAACAATAAAGAACACATAATGTTCACTAGTCGTAAGCATCACACGCACAGGAGTAAGAAATCTGCATTAGCGAAGATAAAAGAAGTTATGAGAGTTAAACAACCATATGAGAAAGTGAAGCGTCAGAAATCTACGGTAATGTGTGAAGAGTGCGGTGAAAAATTCACTTCTAACTGTCATTTGGTCAAGCATATGAAAGTGCATAGTAACACACGGCATCCGTGCCTCCAGTGCCCCAAAATATTCGCTACGCAACTCCAGCTTGACGATCATGCCGAAAGAGTACATTATCCTAAGAAACTTCAATGTCCAAAATGTTCAAAAATGTTCAGCACAGAAAAGATGTTGAAATATCATGACAGACTTCACCACGTCGCAGCAATTTGTAAATTATGTTTTGTACAGTTTCCTTCCAAGAAGGATCTCCGAGCTCACTTAGACAAACATGATGTGAACAAGTGTCCCCGGTGCGACAAATCTTTCCTTAACAAACATACATTCAAGTTCCATTTAAAAATTTGTGGCAATATTGAGGAACGACAGCCTAGTTTCTTTTGCGATATATGCAATAAGGGGTACGCTAGAAAAAATGGACTAAGAACTCATCTGAAAACGGACCATGGTTTCGGAAATGTACTGTCGTGTAACTGGTGCGATAAAAAATTCGACGCAATTAGCAGGTTGAGGAATCACCAAGTAAAACACACAAAGGAAAGAAATTTCCACTGTGATCAATGTGGTGGCAAATTTGTGACGCAAGCGGCTTTAATATACCATGTGCGGCTTCATACTGGAGAAAGGCCGTTCCCTTGCGACCTTTGTGATGAGAGTTTCCTTTCTGCCTCGAGACGGATGGAGCACAAACGTCGAAAACACTTTGGTCCCACAAAAGAATGTCACGTTTGCCATGTGAAGTTTGTGACTGGACATCAGTTAAGAAAGCATGTTCAACGGCACTATAATCCTCTCAGCAAGTTGTTTGTGCCAGAAGTAGAAGAACCCTATTTAAATATTGATTTATCTTCAAATAACATGAAAGATCAGCAGTATCCTAGCATATCAAAATTGCTGTCCATGTGACTGAAAAAAATAATTGTCGCACTCTGTCGGAGGTAAATGTACCTCAAAAAATGCAATACGTACCTGGTAATTTTTTGCTGTAAAAGGTTCGTAAATGGTAAATCCGATTCTATTTTGACACGCTTTTATTAGCTTGTAGGTATGTTGTAACGGAATCTTCGAACGTGATTTTGACCGCCTTCAAAACGTATTAAGGTCGTAGCTCACTTACACGACCCCGCTCCAACACCACACCAGCACAACACGGCACATTAACGGCTTGTTCCATACCTAAAAATATGGTCTTCTGCCACAAACCTACTAAGGCGTGAGTTCATCACATATGCTTCACATATGTGATGAACTCACGCCTTAGTAGGTCTCAACTTTTTACTTTGTTAGTCTTAATAAAATAGTAATCATCATTACTGACTTAAAAAGGAAAAATAAAAGACAGTTTAAAAAAATACAAAAAAAAAACACGCATTAGTAGCGAGCCGAACTAAAAAGTAGGATTTTTTTTCTTTTAGAACTAATTTTGTATTAGTTCAGAAAGAAAAATCATTTTATAAAAATGCGTGGGGTGCTTTTCAAGATATTTTAAAATTCAAAAACTTTACTTTTACCAATATCTGTAGTAAAATATTTTTACAACAATTGAGATCTAGCACCCCACGCATTTTTACGATAAAATGATTTTTCTTTTTTAACAAATAGCAAATTATTTCCTACTTTTAGTTCAGATAGCTACTAAAGTTTTTTAGTTTTTTTAAATATGACTCATTTAAAAAATACAAGGTATGTGCTTCTCACATTAACATTTGTAGCTGTAGACATGATCATGCAAAGGAACCGAATTTTCAACTTTGCCATGCCTGTTTACTTGGCGCTGTAGTAGTAAAAGTATACCTCCGCCGGCTGTCACACAGCAACTCACTCTGTGTTACGTATTGCCACATTCCTGCACTCACCGGAACTACCTATCCATGTAGTTACTGTAACTGTACTCTCGCGAACAGACTTTAGCTAGAAATTGAACTGTTTTTTATTGTTACGTATTATTGTAATGTACTAAATGAGATATTGATATGATACTATTTATGTAAGCGCCCTGTTAAAGTTAGTTGCTTTTTTTTAATATTGCAACAATAGCCATTTTTATCTATATATTAAAAACCACCTATATTTATTTATTTATCTGCAGGCTACAATCTTATAACTGCTTATGGACTGCACGAATCTATTACTCCATCAGAGCAGGTTACTTATATCTTAGAAGTAGTGGGAGAAAAAGAAAGACCGTTCGGACAGGAATCTAGTTGTATACAATCATTCACTAATGAACTCCAGGGTTTTTCCTCACTGCTAGCTTTATCTAGGGGCTTTTTATGAAGAACGAGAGCTATATACTTTTTTATTCACTCAAATAAGTAATAAAATATACATTATAAATATTGTTTTTTATTAGCGATATCCATGCGCCTTAGTTGCTATTTTCTGTGCTAGCTGTTCATAATTCATTGCACGATGCATAGTATCCTGTATCCAGGAAGAAATTAAACTGTCTTGGAACCGGCAACGAAATTAATCAGAAGAAAATTGGAGGAATTGGAAATACAGTAAATCCACTTCCCTCCTTAGCAAAGCGGGAGACAAAATGAAGTAAAATGGGCATACACCCTTTTAAACAGGGAAGCACCACGGCCACAAAATATTACGGGTCCTACGTGAGCTATATTTGATTTCTATAATATGTATGGCAGAATCGCCTAAACGCACGGAAATTCACCCTAGTTGACACAAGATCCCCATAGTATACCGCCCCAGATGTCACCTGCAAGGTATTCAACATTATATTACGTTCATTATACCAAAGACTACATTCCCAGAGGATATGATGAGCAGACTGTTCATAGTGAGAGTTAGGTGTTGAGCATTGACACAATGGTGACTCGACTAATTTAAATGAATAAAGCTTGCTCTTAAAGTTACCATGACCCGTAAGAAATTGAGCGACACAGTGATCCACCTCAAGCCATGTCCTCGACAACCGTTCGCGAACAGATGGAAAGAATTGGTAAAGATGGCGCCCCTTGGATGATTCATCCCAGCGTTGTTGCCATTCGTCTATGAGGTCATTATAGACATCGGACTGCCGTTGAAGCAATCTTGTAATTTTACCGCGATCCCACGCGCCCAAAAAATCGCATTCCATGTTTTGTTGTCTTGAATAGTACATGGCTGCACGTCTCTGCACCTCGAGATCGACCGGAAGCACACCCGCCAACACCGGCAAAGCCTCAGTGCTAACCGACCTATATGCCTTGCACAAGAATATCAGTGCAAGTCATTGACCTTGTAACAGTTTGCGACGGACAGCGCTTACGGTCGCCCTATCGGCCCATACAGGTGCACCATAGCACATAGAACATAAATAAGTAGCTCCGTATATGATCTTTAATGTATTAAATGATAGACCCCATGTCGCAGTTGATATCCTTGTCAATGCACAGAAACTCTTTTTAGACTTTTCATTAACTATTTTAATATGTTCGATAAATGAAATGTTTATTTCTAAAACTAATCCTAGGTAACACACTGAGGCCTTATTATTTATAGCTTTCGGAAGCGTATCATATTTGGAATATAATGTTTAAGTCGACGGCAGAAAGCGACTTCACATCTCGAATCAAACTTTACACTAGCGACCAATAAAACTAGTACCTAGGTGTTCGAACCATTGTGATGAGAGGATAAGTCAGCTTTGACACTGCGTTACCGTGTCTAGTTGCTTCCAGGCACGTCGCGGGGAGGCACCTTCATGCAGCCAATGCACCGACTGCAACTAACACGATCATTGAGATCATTAAATTGTTTAAGTACGCAGGTTGGTCGTTGCAAGAGCAAAATTGCAAATTGGGGGTACATCGACCATCCGTGTGGTGACGGATTAAGAATACAGAGTGTCACCACCCCTATTCATCCCGTGGGTGTCGTAAGAAGCGACTAAGGGAGCGAAATACGCAGGACAACAGCACTGCAGAGAGAAGGAAAACTTGACACAAATGTGTCAAGTTGATGATGACAACAGTAACTAAGGGCTCGTGCAGCGTGCCAGCGATGTCGCGCGACTTCGGTGGCGCCAACTTTCAGCTACGAAAAACAGTGCAGCGTGAGCGACTAGCGATGAGCGAGTACTTGCGAACGATCGATAGAACTCATAATTTAGTTACTCGGGGTTACTACTGAACATATTCATTGTTTGGTTTCGTGAAGTACTTAGAGCGGAAATGGATACAGTATCAGTTTTTATTGTTAGAAAATTCTGTTTTAAGAATCGTGCCATCAAAAGGATGAGAAGATTGCCGGGCATACGAACTGCATCTATTAAGTTTCCTGCATCCATTATTATAATTAAATAGAAAACAAAAAAGTTGCCCTGCATAAGCGCGTTCCACCTCTGGCGACTGGTCGCTGCAAGTGTCGCGAATCAATTTTACCAACGCTATCAAAGATCTTGGAAAAAATTATAAGTAGCAGGTTCGATACGGTCTCTGTTCCCATCCTGGTAAAGAAATTGGACAAAATTGGTATAAGTGGAAATCAACTACTCGTAAATCTTCTTGCTGACTACTTGTCAAATAGATCACAGTGTAAAATTGGGAACCCACATAAGTGCTGATCTTTTAGTTAATTACGGCGTACCCCAAGGAAGTATTCTCGGGCCGACCCTTTTTTAATATATATTCTATATATAAGGTTTCTAGCCAATGACATTTCTAGCCTAGTTCAGCAACAGATGCTAATCCGAACACAAATTCTCTTTAAGTCTAGAATTATTCAGCAACCACAAACTATGTGTAAATGTGAATAAGTTTTAAAGTGAAATAAAATATTCATTCATGTACATAGTATAGTTTACATTAGACCTAATGGTGTGAAGGATCATTTTGGTTGCTATTGAGTTTGAAAAAAATTAAATTCATAATGTTTTGATGAAAAATCATAGTAATGTACAGGAATTAATGCGATGACATGGGTTATCCATGGTATACTTGTTATACATGGGTTATACATGGTATGGTGACAGTCAGCCGTCAGCCCGGTAGGTTGACATTTAAAGCACTGGACAGAAATGCAACACCCGCGAGGATCATCGCAAGCCCGGTAGGTTCAGTCAACCTACCGGACTGTAAAGGACCACTGATCATGTAATTTTACCTTCAGGCAGTTAAAATGTGTAACACATATTGTTTTTTTTTAGCTATAGGGACAAACGAGCAGATATGTCCAAAGTCAAGTGACTGTACCATGAGCACCTACGACTTAACACATGGGCTGAAAAGTCCCGGGCCTAACAAAGAAAACACAGTTGTTTTGGTTCAAAATTAGCTTTAATCATCAACGTAATCTCCATCAAGAGCAACGCAATCATTCCAGTGCCTCTCTAACATTTCAATACCACTTTTGTAGAACGATTTATCTTTTGCCTCAAAATAGGCCTCAGTTTCAGCGATAACCTCTTCATTCGTGCGAAATTTCTTACCGGCGAGCATTTTTTTCAGGTCTGCGAACAGCCAATAGTCGCTTGGAGCCAAATCTGGCGAATACGGTGGATGTGGCAGCAATTCGAAGTTCAATTCATGTAGTTTTGCCATTGTTTTGATTGACTTGTGACTCGGTGCGTTGTCAACGACCGCATATGGCAAAGAAAAAGAAATTGTTTCTTGATGAAACAATTTTTTTTTTCTTTGCCATATGCGGTCGTTTCTTTGCAATTTCGGCCTTCAAACGCTCCAATAACGCTATATAATATTCACTGTTAATGGTATTTCCTTTCTCAAGATAGTCGATGAATATTACACCAAGCACATCCCAAAATACCGAGGCCATAACCTTTCCAGCCAATCGGCTGGAAAGGTTGTGCTATCGGGCGCTTTGGACGAGGTTCACCAGTTGCTGTCCACTCAGATGACGATCGTTTTGATTCCGGAGTGAAGTGATGGATCCATGTTCATCCATTGTCACATATCGACGCAAAAATTCCGGTTTGTTACGTTTAAACATGGCCAAACACTGCTCAGAATCATCACCACGTTCTCGTTTTTGGTCAACAGTGAGTAAACGCCGGCACCCACTTTGAACAGAGCTCTGTTTAAAGTGGGTGCCGGCGTTTACTCACTCGTCTCATAGTCAAATGCTCATGCAATATAAAGCCAACACGTTCTTTTGATATCTTTACGATGTCAGCAAACTCACGCAACCTCACTTTTCGATCATTCAAAACGATTTTGTGGATTTTTTTTATGTTTTCTGGTGTTACCGCCTCATTTGGACGTCCACTGCGTTCTGCATTATCGGTGTCTCTACGACCACGTTTGAAGTCAGCAAACTAACGTTTTATTGTTGTTTCTGATGGAGCGGATTCCCCATAACACTTTTCAAGCCATTGCTTCGCTTGAACGGTATTTTTTCCTATCAAGAAGCAGTGTAAAATTAAAACACGAAATTGTTTTTGATCCATTGTTTTGGAAATAACAAAAGTAGCGTCACTCTTAGCACAATAACTCACAAACTAATGAATAGAATTTCATGAAATTCTAACAGCTGTCTTTTGAAGGTTAGTATTAACTGAAAAAAAGGTGACTACAATAAAACTAGCGCCATATATGTGTTAGGCCCGGGACTTTTCAGCCCATGTAATAAATGTTAAGTGCCTTGCCACACTTGAGTCACTCTGGTTGAGAATGCTAATTTGTGCTGAAACATATCTCTCCCACTAATAATGTTAATACCCATAGTTGTTTTTAATTACATGAAACAGTGGAATTTGCAATTTTAAAAAAAACAGTGGCACCGGGAGTGCCGAAAAAAATGATTTTATACAAGTTTTCTTTGATTTGAAAACTTCTGACATTAATATGACCGACAAATCTATGTTGTATGTTATCCAAATTATAGGTTTATATCATATATAGTTATATTATCCATGTATTTCAACCTGAACTGAATTCTCGTGTAAACGGGGCAAACATATGTAGATACTCATGTACAGAGGTGTTGGTAAGGGTAACAGTTTAATGGTTTTTACCCATCTCAAAAAATACATTCTTTTGTTTGTTGTTCAAAAATGCCCAACATGCCTAAAGAAGTTTTCACTTCAAAAATAATAAAACAACCATAGCATCACACTAACATTATATATTTCCGAATGCATAATTTTTATATTGAATACGTAACATACAAATTATAAAATTTAAGCTGTCTTGCATTCAAGCAAGCGACATGTGTCTGATTTCAATGGAGTTATTTGATACTGCTTTTGGCAAGCATAAACAATAGCCTAATAATATAATTTACTAACTTCAGTCAATAAACCTAACACGCATATTTTCAACAGCTGGCACATTAGGTGGAATCAAACTTCTGCCAGTATACAATTTATTAGAAGGATCATGGTGTTTCTTCATATGCTGTCTTAAGAATGTTGCTGTGACAAACTTGCGGGAGCATATTTCGCACATTAATGTAGGCCCAACATGTTTGAACTTTATATGTTCAGCTCTGGCTGAAGAATTGACAAACTTTTCATCACACATGGTGCAGCTATAAGGTTTTTCACCGGTATGCCTTCTTGTATGATACAGTAAAGCCTCTTTGGACACAAATTTTCGAGTACAGATGTCACATTTGAAGTTCTTTTCGCCTGTGTGCTTTACCATGTGAACTTTTAAGTAACTAGGAGCAGTAAACTGCTTGTTGCAAAATTTGCATACATGTGGTTTAGCATTACCATGCACAAATCTATGGTGAACTCTCAGACCCCCAGGGGTACTGTAACCTTTACCACATTTGTCACAAAAATATGTCTTTTCAATTTTACTTCTCATCGGGTGAGGATCTAATAAGTCTTCCATACACAACTTGACATGTTTTAAGAAAAACTCTTTTGTGTTATAACTTTTTCCACATTTTGGACACTCGCTTTTGGACAAGTGTTTATGTTCATGTGCTTGGAGCTTTTCCAAACCTGTAAAGGCTTTTCCACAGTCTTTGCACACATACAACTCATGAGCGTTATCCTGGTGTACTCTGAGGCTGTCTCTTGTGCATCTGCGTGTATCACAGTAATCACATGTAAACATTTGCTCACTGTTCTGGTGACTGGTTAGTTCAGCATCATCAGCTGAAGTAAATAAGCATTTATCGCAAGTGAAGGTAAAATGTGTTGTCAAATTGTGAACTTTAAGATCAATGATATCATCAACCTCTTCGAAACATTCTGTGCAAGTAAAAACTTCCGATTGAGGTGTAACAGGTTTACTTTTATCATCATTTTTAGTTAATATGAGCTTAGATTCAAACTCTGCAACGGTTATATAAAGACTATGATCTGTGTTTGGATTTTCAATATCAATATTCAAAGTGTTTGTGAGATTGTCAAATATATTGTGAAGAACTGTTGTAGCATTTCTACAATTTAAAAGAAATTTCTGAGTTTCAAGAGTTTTGTCCACACACTCCATACATACAGCATCCAACCCTACAATATCTTCAGATATCTGAAAAAAAATTGAAACAATAAACGTAAGTTCAGTGAGCCTTGGTTTACTTGTAAACTCATTATTGGTTTAACGAAGGCTTTTTACAGACAGGATGACTTTCAACAGATTTAGTACTCACCTCAGGGCCTAAAAGTTCAGCCAAAACTTCCGAAAGCACCTGGAAGTAGCCACGATTAGCATCTATCGAAACACAATCCTGAAGACGAACATAATGGTCTTGAATTTTCTTTAGGCATAACCTACAATGGCTGTATCGGTTCTCACTTATGACATTGGACACTAGTATATTTAGTTCTGATTCTTCAATCATAGTCAATAATTTGTAAAACTAATTCTTTTAAAAAACCAGTTAGAAAGCGTCAAAATAAACAGATATAACTTCAAAGCCGCGCGCTTTATAAATATTTCGTTCAAGAACTTATTCTCCACGACATATTGACATCACGATAATGAAATAAAATGGCCGACCGCAAAATCTCTGCTGTCACATAATATACTACAAACAGAAAACCAATTTCAATACATTTTGGATGTAAAAGTACTTATTAAAGTAGTTTTTTAAGCAAATTTTATGTTGTTAATGCTATAAATGTAAAGAAAATTTTATATCAATTTATTTGAATTTTAAAATCGTATTAAAATTTTATTAAGTAATTTAATTAAACAAGCAACTCTAAATCATTTGATTTTTAATATAATTTGTGTGATTAGAATTTTCGAATTACTGTACTATAAAAACATTCATCATCACCACACATCCACATAACACTGATTTTACTATCTGCGATAGCTATTTCATGTGATATGGTGTAAACGTAAATCACAATAAAATGCATGTCCAGTAGTAAATGTACAAATGAAATTAATTTTTTAACAATGGTCTAATCCAAACGTCTATAAAAACGTAAATGATCTAATTCAATAAAAAATAAATATGAAAAGATAACATTAATTTTAGTAACATTTATTATATACACGTTATTTTCAGCTGTGTATTTATTTAGCATAGTATTAGAATATCATCATCATTATCATCATCTATCGTAGTCCACCGCTGGACATCTCGCATCCAAGCAAGAGGAACTCTCTTCACTAATATGTACAGATAATCAGAATGAAAATAATGAATAAAAATTCTTTCTTTCAATGTATAGGCCAGACCAAAACAGTTTTTTCTTTTTGGTCTAACTAAACTAAAAAATTAGAAAAACTCTTTTTTAAACAGGCGACTCGAATGAGACTAAACTTGGCAACCCTAATTAAGTCAACTTGTTTGTTTGTATATTTAGCACAATCATAGATTTTAGTAGATTAGACAAGATTTCAAAGACAGTTTTATTGATAGATACCTACTAAATACTCAATAAATATTTTCGTATTTGCCGCTGCGTCCTTCTATATTATCCACAATGACATTGGTCAATAATTTTCTTCGTAAAATAATAACGGACAGATTCACAGATTATTGCTGTTTATGTTTCGAGACGGTTGACGAAAAAAATAGCTTGTATAATCTTCGAGATGAAATAATTTTAGAAACTAAAAGCGTTGAAGATATTTATGAAATATTGTTTACTATTCTAGGAGAGGAAGTTAGTTATTTAATACAATAAAAAAAAAACAAGTTTAAATGTAATAGTAAAACGGTTTTTATATTAATCACTTAATATTTTACAGGTGATGAACTGTCTTACTACGTCCACCATATGTAAAAAGTGTACAACGTTGGCGATAAATAGTTACAACTTTATAGAAACTTGTAAAAATAATATTAAAAGATTATCTTGCAATATTGATTGCATCCAAAACTATATTGTCAATGCAACAGGATACAATTATTGCCATAAGTCTCTCTTTTTGGTTTTAGACACAGTTAACTGTACTGTTGATGAATTTTATGATAAAAATAGTCACAGATATGATGAATCTTTATGCAAAAGATTCGAAAACTTAGTGGCAAATTCACTAGGAATGCAAAATATAGGCAACTCTTTAACACTAGACATCCATTTTGACCCTGAAAACTGTGAGATGACAAAGCCGGTGCCTGATATGTCTTCTAAAATCAAAACTTCTATACAAGAAGAAAAAAAAGAGGAGTCTGTGAGAAAGATCTCTCAACCTGTCAAAGGATTACAGGCTCTAGAAGCAAATGATAAAGGGGATTATAAGTGTGAACATTGTCACAAGGACTTTAAAAGTAGTTTGAAACTGAAACTACATTACTTACGAGTTCATGCTCCAAAAACCTTCAAATGCACTCAATGTCCTAGAAGCTTTGGATCGTCATTGATATTAAGCCTTCACATAAGGGATAGTCATTGCACAGCCGTCTGCAGATATTGTGGCAAGACATACACAAATAATTATTCATTAAAGTACCATGAGAAAAGCCATGAAGTAGATTTTAAGTGTAATAATTGCGGCAAAGTATATAAAAAGAAGAAATCTTTTAACAATCATGTTAAACAAAATCTGTGTAACTCAACTAGGAATGTAAATTTAGAACCAAAACATGCATGCAATTATTGCGATAAAAAATATTCCCAGATCTCTGCATTGAACGTTCATCTAAGATTGGAACATGGAAATGGCAAAGTGCTTACTTGTGACTGGTGTGGAAAAAAACTAAGTTCTGAAAGCAAATTAAAAGAACATATAATAAAACATACAAAACAGAAGAATTATACATGTGACATCTGTGGAGGGAAATTTGTTACAAAAACCTCCTTGCTATATCATACTCGATTACATACGGGTGAAAAGCCATATAAATGTGAACATTGTGATATGAGATTTTTATCGGCATCACGGCGTTCTGAACATATAAAGCAATACCACGATGAACCTGATCTAGAATGTGACATATGTCATTGTAAATTTAAGGGACGCACACCTTTGATGAGACACAAAAAAAGACACTTTGATACTTCAAGCAAGCTGTATCAGTATTTAACTAACAAGCCATGAAAATTCTTCCGGTAAAACTGCATAAAAATAAAACAGGTTTTTAAAATATACTTTTTATTTTTTTTCATAAAAAGATTCAATACCCAGGAATTTCTTCTTACTCATTAGCTTGCCCAGGACTTTTCCGAAAACCCCACTGGCATCATCAAATACTTCTGATATACCAAGTGGAAAGTCAGTAAACATGACTGACGCATCCTCTAAAAATTAAATTAAAAAATGCTTTATTTAATATACCCAAGTTCAGACCCCATTACTTAATTAGAAAAACCAATTTACTCACCAAGAGTTTGATTAAGTCCATGATGTGGTAAGTGTCTGGATTCAATTTCTATGTTAAACTGTAGATAAAAATATTACGGTTAACTAAAGTCCTGTTTCATACCTATATCAATACATTATTTGTTAACAGATCAACAAAAATGCGTTGTATTCCATTTTGAGTGCATAAAATAATTATTGCATGTAATATATTTACCATAAAGGTGATAATTATGGCGGAAATAATAAGATTAAATCGAAAAGCCATTTAAAAATACCACGCTTATAAAAACCCTTCAAAACAGTCAGAACTAATGTAAAGTTAAAGAAACAAAAGTAAAGGTTGCCAATATCCTATGTCAAAATCAAAAATCGCGCTGAAACAAGTGCAGGTTTGTTTATCAACAAATACGTTTAGTTCATTCTGCCCTTTTTAAAAAAAAAGCTAATATTTTTTTCTTCAAGTTTTCTTGTACTTATATACTACATAGAAAAAACAATAAGCCATAATTTCATGATTTGAGGGAAAGATTTCCCATTAGAAATATTTTTCAATATTCTCAACGTAAATGTCAGCACAAAACGTAAATGCATGTTCTTGAGTGTATAACCAATAAATAGAATAGATTCAATTGACACTTCTTCTCATTGGTTGATAAAATAAGTGCATCTCTTTCCTTTTCGACAACGAGCAAGATGGCCGCGACTCATTGTGATACGACAGACGTGTTGGAATAATCGCGTTACGTCGTGTGTTAATCTTCGTAAATAAACATTATTAGTCCAGTGTCGCGTCCTCTGTAGTGCCCAGTGTTAGTGCATGCTGTGTTCATTTAAGTGTTTTAATTGTGATCAAACATCTTGTTAAATAGGTGTTTTGTCTGTGTTTTGTGCCTTGTTTTCGTCAATAATTTCAACCTGACATCTGTTTTGGATTTATGTTCACTTGAATACAGTAAGTTCATGTAATGCATACACTTTTATCGATAAAACATAGTTTGTAATAGTTTTAGGATGTGTGTAAATAGTTTTAATTTGATAAAGTTTTGACAGCTTTTTGTCTCGCTTGTTTTGAATGTGTTTATTGCAGGCGCGATAGAGAGAGTGGGATAATGGTATGTTAAAGTTTAGGTCACTCCCTATCCCTTCGAAAGTGTGCCGCGTATTATTGTTTTGGTGGTGACCTATTACGAAATATATGATATGTCGTGTCTGACGCGCCGTGTCGGAGGTGGTTGGGCAATTAGACGGTTTATCTCTATGATTAAATGTGACAGAAGGCGCGTAGGCAGTGTCCACGGAGTCCACGACAGTGACATCATATTCGCGTATTTTAAGAATTATATTTGATATTTATACTATCACACGTGCTCGCGGAAGAAACGTTTGGCAGAAGGTGTCGTATTTACGTCAAAAGTCTAGCAGTCTAGTCAAAAAACCCGTAAACCTACCTACCTACTAACCTGTAGGTTACTAAGGGTTAGGGAGCTAAGGGGGTTGGCTGCCAATATGGTAAATTAGGCAGATAAGTATGGTCTTGAACCGGTATTATTATATATTATATTATTTATTTATTTACTATAGGACTTTGTATCATTCTTTTCTTACATGTCAATTCAATTGAAAAATCAAGAAAGCATAGAAATTAATTGACATACAATTATAAACAAATAAATTTACTTACAAATATTAGTTACATTAAAAATATACACATTTCCATTTGCTTATAAATAAAGTAAAGAATTTTAACATCAACAGACTTAATAGGTAAGTATTAATCAAAATTATGACATTTCCTCAATATGGCACTTCAATTAAAACAGCAAGAAAGTATGGATATTAATTTGCATACATAAACAAATAAATTTACTAACACATATTAGTTCCATCAAAAGTATTCACTTTAACATTCACTTATAAATGAGGTAAAAAAAACATATTATTTATTCAATTTGTAAAAAAAAATTGTGCACTGTAAGCTATTCTATTACATTTCTACATTATTTCAAGCATTGTGTCAGACAGACATATTAACATAAATAGTGCAAAAAAACAATTTGTGTCTATGGAATTTTGAAATGCATCTAAAGTATGTAAAACTAGTTGACCAAGAAGGTTTAATTAAATAGTGAATGTATGACATTGCATTACACAAAGAATACCTCAACTTGTAACAAAGAACAATTAACAACAAAGTTATTACATACTGTTAGTCTATGGTCTTAAAATATCTAAAATTATTGCTGTATACAAGTATTATTTATTACCATTGTTTTTAGTAGATTGTAAAACTGATATTAGTTAAAATATAGTTACATTAGCCAATTATGTGCAAAGTACATTATTCACAAGAGATTATGTTCTTTTAGGCTCTGGTAACCCTTAAATTTAATATTGTAGTACAAATATTTTTAATGTAAACTGATCAACTTATAAAATAATAGTGCTTCAAGTTACAACTAAATACACACATTGCAATTTGATGGCAAAATTATAATCACATCATCAACAGCCTTTACTAGTCCACTGCCGGACATAGGCCTCTCCTTAGAAAAATTATAATAACTTCACACATCTCACTCAAGGTTGCTGATCCCAAACTAGCCAAAGCCTGTATTCTGGTTACCGGACTGAAACATTTATGCATTTCTAAATACATACACATTATATGACAATTACACCCAGACACAGAACAAGTGATCATGTTCATCAGACATTTTTTTTTTATATGAAGACAACTCCCGCACTAGGAAAAATCCTGTGTCGTGGAGGACTTTACAAACATACATGAAACTCCATCCAAACCACTACGCCATCCATGCAGTCTATTTCATTTATTCACAGAAACCAAGAACAATATGCAGAACCAAAGAACAGACATACAGAACCCCCAAAACACTAATCTACTAACACAACTTGCACTCTTGCCAATCTCTTCATATTTTGTATACCTACATGTATACCTAAACATAAATACAATATTTACTTGACCCTGGACAAATATGAAGTAATTACAGCTAAGTTAATTAATGGAAAGTCCAGGTTCTGTAATGAATGAGTAAAGAATAAAAAAAAAAATCTGGCTGCTTGGCTTATATTTATAGATTGGATTGGGCACTGTGTTTCTAAAATTGTGTACATTTTAAGACCAGTAACTATCTAGACACCTTTATTATAACTGGCAGATTTAATATACTGTTTTAAATGTAAAATGAGAGTCGTTTTTGCATTGGTATACAAGTTATGAAAGCTTGGGAGCCTCACCAAGACAACAGTACCTTTATGAGTCGAAATGCGGCAACTGGAATTTACGGCCAACACAAATGAAAACCACCATTAAAAACTAATTCGTGGGAGAGCCATACTTCGGCACAAATCGGCACGGCCGTCTAGACGAGCTATACCACGGTCTCACAGAAAACTGGTGTTAGCCAATACTTCCGTTGTTTTTCACTGAGGTTGTCGTAGCTCAAACCACCCCTGCCATTCATCCAGGGGAGGAGGACTGAAAAGGCGATAACGGACTTGTGTTGTGCATTGCAGGTGTATAAGCGATAAAAAAAACATTCCACTACATCATGTCCCCCAGCCAGGAGCGTCATCATCAATTCAAAAAACGTGTATATTATCATGTTAACTATACACCAGTGCCATAAAGTGGTAACGAACAATAGCATCAAATTATATGTGTTATAAAACAGTTAGCTTGTGACTGTTCTCTAAGGGAAACCAGTTTCCTTAGTTTGTGCCCTTCACGCATTGTACACACGCCAGTATTTATGCGTGTGCGTCGAGTATACGCTGGATGCATATAGTACATTTTAATACAATTAGAGTAATAAAAGTTAAAAAAAACGTGTGAAATCAAAAGTTATTTTTTTACCTTAGTAACACTTTTTTGTTTATAAACATACATTGAAAAAGTAAAGTGGTGTCAGATCAGCGGTCAATAAACGAGTTTCCTTAACTTCAAACATTACGGGAAAAAAAATGTAAACCATTAAAGATTCGTTTTGCGAAATTATTTAATTGTAAAAAAAACGATTAATATCAGTAATATGACTCAGATGGAATATTTACCTACTAATGTTTACTTAGCGGGTATTGGGTTCAATTCTATTAGGTACTTTATTTCGTAAAATTGATTACCAATTATTTGAAATCGTCTATTGCCTTTTTTAATATTTAAAATTATGAATAAACACACGTATTAACAGGTCTCTTTGTAAATGTAATATAAAAAAGAAAATAGATAATACCGTGTCTGCTGGTATCAAAGCATAAACCGCTCGTTTCCGAATGGCTGAGCCTAGTGAGAAGAAATCAAGCCACAAAACTCACGGTCACTCTTTCATTTCACCAAATAATTTTGACAATAATTAACAAATTGTATTAATCAGCAACTGCCCAAGACGTTTTGCGAAGTATTATGCTCTAAAAGTACCGAAATTCTGAACATACGTTAAATAATTGTTTATCAAAATGCTATAGGCCTTACTCTATGGTGAACTTTATTTGGAAACTTATTAATTTGAATAAAATTGAGTTTGATTTGCTGTACTGTCGAAAGTTAATCGGAGTTTTAAAATAACTGAACAATATAGTGTAGTTACAATATGACAAGCATGTAAACACTTATATTGAATCAGTATTGATGACGCATATTGATAAAAGGGACCCATAAACCAGTTTTTTAACGTGTACATATCTGTAACAGGATAGTATGTACCTAATTCATTTAAAATCGTCCACGTGTCTCTATAAAAATTACTTAAAATTTCACAAAAACAACCGTTATGTTGCATAAATATGTTTCTTGAAAAAAAGTCTGTTGTTATTCAGCGATTCAAATCGCCAATTTTAAGTATGTATTAGATTTAAGATCAACTGATTACGGGTTCGAACCCCACTTGACACGGACATTAGTGGAGGAGTAAGAATAGTAGTGGTATTGTGTGAGACGCGTTGCTAATATTATTTTTCTACGAAATCCCCATTTGTTACTCTAGCTGTATCTACCGAGTTGGTCCATAAAAAACCTATAATACTTTCACAATATATAAACTCGTTTTCAGGGGATTCAATTTGTAATCAGTACAGTAATTTGTAGGATCCTATTTGGTTTTGTAAAGTCTTTAGAATTAAATTACACATATCCAAATAACTTAATTATAAGTAACTAGAAACCTGCCCTTTCTTGGCACTGGAGCATAATATATGCCTTCAGTGTATTTAAATAACTATCGGTATATAAAGCGTCCAGTATCC